AATTGCTAGAGACCTTATAGTTTTATTAACAATAATAATGACACAACACAATAAATTTCACCAGATTCTATTAAATAGTGACCACGAATCCCTGTATGTTATCAGAGTACAGTTTGTAAAAAATTTATTCACACTAACCGATTATCGGTCCAAAGATTTGAAAACTAGCACAATATGATGTTATCAGTCAATTTAAAAGATAGTGTACTCACTACCCAATCAAGCACAGTTTATGTTGATTTAAAATCAAAAACAAAAAATTTATATTGACACAATATGAATATATATATATATATATAAAAAAACGTATGTGTCTCGTACTCTTAGTCGGTCGCAGTACAGTAGACGAACCTGTCTTTTAAAGAAAAAGCTTTCCCTGCTCGGTGCTGCACCAAACAGACAAAACTTTGAAGGCAGTAATTTTCTCAAGTGGGCGTCTGTTGCACCCACCGAGTACTATGTGACCTATCTGCCTTCGGACTGCCCGAGCTAGACCTACTAAAATCCTCAGGGCAGTCACTTTTCCCAAAAACGTATTATGTTTCAATCCACACCAATGAATCACGCTCTTTTTAATTTAGACTTAGTGTCGCGAATATCCGAGTTCGGACCTGTTTTGTATTAGTCTGGTTCTTATTGAAAGGCAAGTTACCAGTGCAGTCACTGATACCTAGCCTGGGTGTTAATAACCTAATACCTCTCACTTTTTAGTCTTTCTTTCGTCTACCTAAGTCCTTAATAAAATAATACCCCTCCGGATTGGCACAAATAGGACCCTTCCGGACTAATAGAATCTAGACCCCTCCGGATTTGGACCCCTCTTAGTTGGTTAATACAAGACCCCTCCGGATTTGGACCCCTCCGAATTAGCAACTATAAGACCCCTCCGGATTCGGACCCCTCCTAACTTGAAAAATCTTTGACCCCTCCGGATTGGGAGCCCTCCGGTTTTGTAAAAGTGGCTTTTCGGAGATTTCCTTTCTTTTTTTAACCTATACCCCTCCGGATACATTCTCCGATGCAATTATGCTCTTTCAATTAACTGGGAAGGGTATGTACTACCTACCTAGACCCTTCCGGATTGAAGTTAAGCTTCTTATTTGACAATTCACACCAACGGTGAAGGGTCTTATCGCTGGCCTAACTTCGGCTCTATTAAGCTTTTGCTGTGCCTTTAGCCCTCCCTTTTGGTCTAGAACGGCCTAAAGTTACTTTATTCAACCGCTATTACCTTTTGGTAGGGGTCTAAGGGTTTTTCAGAAAAATTTACAAAACGTGAAGGGTGTACCCCTCCGGATTTGTGTAATTTGCTAAAAACAACCTCAAAAATTTTTCTCGCTCGCTTTTTCGAGTAATTATCTTTCCTACTAGTAAGTTCAGCTAATTTCTGATCTAATGGTACCAAGATTAACCAGATCTGTCCAGTTGTCGAAAAGTTATTAGCCAAAACGTCTTTCTTGCAAACTCAAAAAATTTCTCACTTATAGGTTTAACCTAACTTTTTCCGCTAATCTGGTCCTTTCGACCTGAAAATTATTGATCCGAGCTCAGAAGGCCTATAATCTTCTAGTTCAATGCAAAAGACCCGATCTAAAACGCTTTTGCTGAAAAATTTTGCGAAAAACTATGCTACCTGTACCCCTCCGGATTGATGAATCCACCAAATCAAACACGTTAAGTTCGATTTCTCTGCAACCCGGAAGGCTTTCGGGTAGCGGGTTTTAAAACTTGTAGATTCACTAGTGGACGTTGTCCGAACAACTATTTTTACTGTTGTAGCTCAAAAATTTCAAAAAATTTTCTAAATTTATAGTGTTCCGTTTTCTCAAAAATCACGAAATTTCAGTTTTCGGTACCAAAATAGTTCCAACCACCTTCGAACTTAACTTAACCGGTTCTATCTATTATGGTAGTGCAGTTACGATGTAACAGACTAACTTAGCGCTTTTTTCCGTTTCAAAAAATATCGATATCTCAAAAATCGCGACTTGTGGGGGGATCAAAATATCGCTATTTTGACCCTAAAAACCCGTCTGTTTTCGTTGTTTTTCACTGAAAAACGATATAAGACTATTAATATAGGCTGTATAAGTAATAACATTAGTAATACTATACCCCTCCGGGTTTGATTAGTATCCGAATTAAGGTGCTTAACTCGGATATTCGCAGTTCGGTGAAGGGTCACTACAGTGCAGCACTGTCGAGCCCCCCACAGATTACTATCTTACTTTTTGTACCAAAAGGGATACAAAACTTGTTAACGATACCCAACAGTCGATTGTTGTTGTCGTTGAGCCCCTTCTTGTCGCTCCTTGTACTGCTTGCCGGATCGGTCTTCACCCAAGACCCTTCCGAATTGGGCGCAAATCAGCTGACCCTTCCGGATTGAGCGCAATTTATCATTAACGTGCTTAAATGCTCAAATAACCCTACAGTACAAGCCTCACAAACGGGCTACAAAACTGATCGTAACAATCCTGACTGATATAAATGCCTGTAACAACAATATATCTATCAACAACAAACGGGGGGGTTGGATCACATCTTGTCTGGGGGGATGATTTCTACTGATTTTTCTACTTTTTTAATGTTTTTGGTTTTTTCGGTTATTTTTTTATGTTTTTTGTTTTTCTTGGGTACTATACTACTTTTTGTTTGGTTTTACTTATATCTTTAGGTGTTTTTGGTCACAAACCACTCAGGGGATGAGGGGTTCGCGATTCCCCCCACCCTTCCTGGTTCGTGAATTTTCGGTCTTAACTAGGTTAAAAAACTATTCATGGTAATCCGGAAGTCTTCCGCGTTCCGAACTACCCTTCCGCCCCGGCGGTTTAGGCCTATTAAGGGCGTTAATGTGAGCATCCGCTCGGCGCGGAGTGCTCGTTAACGGTTCTGCCGGTCATGATGTTAAAAAAGAATAACACCCAGGAGCGCCATAAAAACATGTATGTAACATTCGCCCGGAAGATACATATCGAAGGATAACAACACTAAGTCTTAAGACGACTAGCTAACGTCTAAACAGAGCTTTGCATGCTTTTCACCGTCTCTACCAAGCCAGTACTTTTCGGTGGTCTTTCCAACATCGGGTCGACAAAAACGTTACTGTTCTCCGGCTTCGACCAGAACGCTCAAATTAACTTAATTACATGCAAATAGTGAGCTCATGGCTGGGTCTCAGTATCCCCAGACCACGAGGTCACTCCTAAAAACAGGGCTACTACTTATTATATTACTATTGTTTTTGTTCAGTAGATAAAAAATCATCATCTCCATCGAAGATGGATCAACCCTTTCCCCCCAACTCCTAGCACCTCATCCTTGTTAAAACTAATCCAAATATCAATTAAATTCAAGTCAGGACATGACAAGATGCTAAAAGTTTATGCAACAGGATAAAAGTTTCAGTCCCTTTACCCTTCCGGATTGATGAATCCGCTGGATCAAGCTCACTAATCCTGATTTCCTCTTGATCCGGAAGGCTGTCCTTCACCCTTCGCTGTTGCTCGCAACGGCCTTGCAACTATTGTAGCAGCACAATAGTTGCAACTCGGAACGTCATCTGCTATTCTGTTGTTCGTTGTCGTTTTCAATCTCGATTTTCGTCCTGTTCGCTATCGCAGATAAAGTTGTTCTTTTTCTTCTCTCTCGTTTTTGCCAAAATGGCCGTTTCTGACGTTTCTCAGAAATATGACGTCATAATTCGAATTTTTGAAATTTAAATATACTAGAATATTCCAGCCCTCACCGTCTGGCTAATCGTTTCAATAACGTCCTTAATTCTTAATAACCACCAATCCGGAAGGCTTACTGCTAAAAATTCGAAGTCTGCACAAATTGCATTTTGGCCATTCTGGTCGAATGTCACATAAATCAGCAAACAAAAAAATATAAGACAATCAAATTAATTTAAATATTAAAATCGAATTAAAAAAATCAAAAACTAGGAACAATCTCACCCGAGCTCAGTAGGTCCAGCGGTGCACCACCAGACTCTTCAAGCCAGTTCCAGTTTCGCACCTCCCCACAGAAAGCCACATGATAGTGTAACATTCGCCCAAATATCACACAGCGACGGAGCGTAGAAAAAGTACCTATTGACGACTGGCAGGCGTCAGTTACCTTAATTCCACTCGTTTTTCACCGTCTCGACCTTGCCAGTTGATTTTCTGGTCTGTCTAGGGCAAAGTAAAAAGTTACTATTTTTAGGCCATCAGTCAAACGACTTTTGATCAGCTTTCGTTTGCATGCGAACACAACCACATAGCTGAGTCTCGGATCCTCAGACTACGTGATTGTCATTAAAAACACGGCTCGAACCACCTATTTCTATATGTTTTTGTGTGACAGTTTTATATTAAATCCATTGGAGATGGATTGACCTTTTCCTTTCTCTATCTACTCATGCTCTGAAATATTAAATAATAACGGTGTTTAATTCAGATCTAGGACATTACAGCAACTGTTATGGCTAGTTTACACAGTCCCTTCACATATAACAGTCTCTGGGGGACCAAGCCTCCGCTCCCGTGATTTTCTTGAGACAACACTCTTATCTCCTATATTTCGTGTCCCGGGAGGGTTCCGTGGTATTTCTCTTCCCCCCACTGAAGCCTCCGTCTCCACAAATATCCGTCACTAAGGTCCTTATCGTGTGTTATTGCCACGATAAGAGGCTCCGTAATTTTCTCGTCTCGGATACAACCGTTCGTCACAAAATATGGCGTCGTTCTGCTTTTTCTCTATTTTATTCAAAATGGCCGTCTTTTTTCTATTTCTCAGAAATGTTCTCCTTCAAATCGAAATTTTAAAAATAAAAATTCCAGAACATTCTGACCCTCCGTCGCAACACTTTTCTGTTCGTAAGGCCTTTAGTCACTTTTTTTTTCGTCGCGGGAAGGTTATACTGTGTCATCCGGCGGAATGGCACATAGGACTGTCTCTAAAATCCCTCAGAGGGCGCTCCACAAACAGGCACAAACATCAAACATAAGAAATCTATTTAATAAGCTCATCACAACAATTAGGCTAAATTAGACTGTAAAAGTTTTGAGGTTTACAATTTAATTGCTCAAAACTGCCTATGACAACATTTTGTTATGCATTTTTTTGTTCAATGGACGTCTAGCAACGTATTGGCGACTTAATGGAGGTTCGGTTAAAACCAAAAGTTCACTTACTGCGGTTAATCGCGTTTCTTCGAATCGTGCGGGTTTATTTGAAAATGGCAATTTTTGTTTTAAGAAAAGTTTCGACCTTGTTATTGCTGACTCATTTGCTTCCCGCAAGCTTGCAATGCTACTCTTGAATTGCATCGCTACTGTTAAATCAGGATACCTAAGATCAGACGTAAGTTTGCAGAAATTGTGTTCATATATAAGAAATCACATTACTTCAGATCGTTTTCACTTGAAGAGATTAATCTGCTTAAATCGTCGTTTGGTTTTCAATGTCGGCAAGTAGAATTTTCTACACGGGAAAAATTCAAGATTTGAAACGCATGCATTTGTCTTCAACCTTGACAAAATTATTTTCTTTTCAGTTTCTGGATGTCAAATGACGAGCAACTACTTAATTTGCCTTTTTTGAAGCCCTGGTGGCAGAAAGCCAAACTGGTTGTTCGAAGACTCTTTGAAGCTAACACAGTTGATCGTTTGCGTAGGCGGTTACATATTCTTAGTCAATGTGGTATACCACACTTGCGAAGCGACCCTTTTGTGAATCTGTGTACTTATCTAGAAGATAACATTCCGCTAGCTGACCAAATTCACTTCCTTGAAAAGATTTTTCCAACTATTTTATACCTAGTGCTTAATTTGGAAGACCATCCCGAAGAATGGAGTGCTTTGTCTTGCTTAGTGAGAAACAGAGGAGCTGAAGTTGTTGTTCGGCGTACTACTTTGGCATCCCTGCTTTCGACGTCCTTCCTTTGCTTACTTCCAGGAGAATCTACTCGTCATCAGAATTTCGAGAAACTTTTCTACAATTTACACTCAGAAACAGCTCGTGAAAAGCTGAAGTGCTTCATAAACTACTTTGATGTACTCAGCCTGCAAATTCCTAGTAACCAATTTTTAGGAGTGGTTAAAATAACAAGGCGCGTGCTGCCAGGATGGTGCTCTTGGAACAGAAACCATTTAGGAAACTCCTCGTGCAATCTATCGTAAGTTGACAGCATTAATTAGCTATTAGAAATGGCGAATTTTTTCTATAAGCCTTGAAAGGCGCATGAATTTTGTCAATACTTCAGATTCAAAGTTTGCTTTTTCATCATTTTGCTTGCAAATAAGTGGTGAGAGTTAATATTTTCCCATGGCATTTGGCTATGTAGTGGTGCACATCAATCACTTCATTGTAATTTTTTATATTGAACCCGGGGCTAGGTCTTTTACCAGACCGACCTTTTACCAGAACACAATGCATTATTTCAATTGAGATAAATTTAAATTAGTGGAAAATTTGAAACGGAAGTGGTTACATCAAACAAAACTTCGCTGAGAAACCGTGAAAATATTGTCTTTAACCAGACTAAACGGCGTCATTGCATCTGTCAATCAAATTTGTTTATCGAGTCTGGGAAAAGGTCCATGTTATAACTTTTCTGGTAAAAGGTCGGTCTGGTAAAAGGTCGGTCCCCATTGAACCCTGTTACCTTGAATTAAAGATTGACTCGTCGTTTTTTTTGAGGAATAAGTCATAGTTTTTCACGCTCACTCAAGTTTTTGTTTTCGTGACTGAATTTTTGGTTTTTTTGCTAAGTTAATTACCCTTGCGATAAGCAAGGGTTTGCAATCGGGTACTAGACTTTTCAGTAGTTAAGTTTCAGTTCAACGAATTCAACTTTCGTTGCGTCTCCGGCACACTACGGTGTGGCGGTAACGAATACGACTGGGACGGCAAATGTCCTGGGTTTGAATCTGACGGGACCTTTTTTTTAAGCGGAAAATATTCCGTTTCGAAAAAAATTACGGCCTATGGTTTGTCTGCCCATGTTATGTTGGCTTAGTTGCCACATCTTAGAATTGTTTTTCGACGTACATAATTCAACTTGAAGTCGTTTTTAGTGTTTTGATTACGCTTGCCATAAGCAAGCGTTATTTTATTCTGACGTTTAAGGTTAATTAACGTAGTGGGTACTCTTATATAGGTCTTTCTGGTTTTTTTTCGTGTTTTTTTCAGGAAAAGTCTTAAAACGCTCAGTTCACGCTCAGTTTTAAATTTGCGCGGTTTCATTTGGATTTATTTTTAAGTTCAGTGCATATCCATTGTTAAAAGGAAGGCAAACTCCACTATCCAACAGCAAAAGTGTAAAGGTCAGAAAAATCTTTTCGAAAATGGAAATTAATTATTAGATTTCCCAGCGAAATAAAAGTTTTACGTGTTGATCCAGTTTTCTCAAATTGGGTTATTGTTAACAAAAAGTGTTCATCATAAATTGTTCTACAAATTCAAAGAGTTTTCAAGCCATCTATTTTTTCTTCGAAATTCAAAAGTTGAAGGCTCTCAAAAAACAAGTCAGTTTTTTTCAGTTTCCTTGCGTTCATAACTCTTCCAACTGTTAGTTGGCTATATTTATCATTTTACTAACGTTGAAATTGTATGTTTTCTTTTTTGTTATTGTTGTTTTTTGCTTGAGACTTTTTTCTGCCCAATTGATTTCGGCTTATATTTTATCGGCTTTTTTATGAACTAATTTTGAGTCGTCTAAACGGAAATATGATTCGTATGCTCACTTCTGATTTAAAAAAATGGCTAAAATTTCATTAGAAATAATGTTCAAGTTCTTCGTGATAACATTTCCCCCTTTTTTCACACTTTATAGGTTTTTTATTGATCTAGTTTTTTCTACATTTTCGATTTATCTCCAACATAGTGGCTTTCTTGTTTTGTATCGCAAGTGGCGCTCTGTGTTCAAAATAATTTGCAAATTAAGCCCTCGAAGAACAAAAGCGAAATTGTTATAAACACTTTACTTGACGCTTATAGTTTTTAACAATTTCATTGAACGTTTTAAATTTTGAAACTATTTTGTCTTCGAGAGTGAAAGGGTGTTAAAAGAGCAAGCGAAAAGTGAAAACTGCATTAAACTCAAAAGATCGCACTTTTTCGGAAACGTCCATTTTGCCCCTATTTTCAAGAAAACAATTGAAAAATTTTCTATTAAATGATGATCTGTATGCAATTTGTTTAGAGAAAAAAGTAACTGATCAATTGAGCACCCCCACTCCCGTAATGACCAATTGAGGTACCTCTCCCAAAAAAAAACACTGTAAAACAACAAAAGACGTTAAACGCAAGCAGATATTCGATGTGTTTGTAGTACGCAATCATTTCACTGACTGGGTTTAATTTTATTTGGGTGACGAGAAAAATTTTAGAAAGACGAAGACAATCATAGTAACAGATTAAAATCGGAAAAAAAATCTTTTTGCGGGTTTTTGTCTGGACAACAATTGTCTCGAGGAAGGCGAAGGCAAGTTACGAGGATTGGTTCTCTAACTTTGAATATGAATACCGATAATTGTGCTCTGCTGCTCCTAAAATAGAAAAGGGTGAAAACTGCATTAAACTCAAAAGATCGCACTTTTTCGGAAACGTCCATTTTCCCCCTATTTTCAAGAAAACAATTGAAAAATTTTCTATTAAAGCGTGTTAAAAGAGCAAGCGAAAAGTGAAAACTGCATTAAACTCAAAAGATCGCACTTTTTCGGAAACGTCCATTTTCCCCCTATTTTCAAGAAAACAATTGAAAAATTTTCTATTAAATGATGATCTGTATGCAATTTGTTTAGAGAAAAAAGTAACTGATCAATTGAGCACCCCCACTCCCGTAATGACCAATTGAGGTACCTCTCCCAAAAAAAAACACTGTAAAACAAAAGACGTTAAACGCAAGCAGAAAATCGGAAAAAAAGTCTTTTTGCGGGTTTTTGTCTGGACAACAATTGTCTCGAGGAAGGCGAAGGCAAGTTACGAGGATTGGTTCTCTAACTTTGAATATGAATACCGATAATTGTGCTCTGCTGCTCCTAAAATGTACGTAATAGTTTTTTTTACAAATCGGCTTTATTTGCATCAGTTTTAATTTTCTATCTATATCTATCTGCCTATCTCTCTGTCTATCTCTCTGCCTATCTATTTATTTTATTTTTGTATCTCTATTATATTTAAATTCGTGTGACACTTATCTTGTCCTTTTAAGCGTTTTGTTTTGCAACGGTTAAGCGCATAACGTATCGATGCATGGTTAAGCTGTATCTCATATTTTTATCCTTAAGAATTCTAGATTTCCAAATTTATGAATGCTAGCTTAACTGGAAAGCCCGAATAAAATGCTGTAGCTATGATGCCAGGATGGGAGGGGAAGAGGAAGGCAGTGTATGATATTGTAAAATTGGGATTCAACTAACATTATGTAACGGCGTTTTTCCTTCCAGAATTTTTTTTTGGAAATTTAAATTTAGCATCGCTATGCTTTAATACTATCAGAGTGCTCCCATTGCTTGCAAAATTGACTTCCAAGTATGAATACCAAAATCCATCAAGCCTACGAGATATGGCGATTTTTGTTATTTTTCAAAAAATTTCGAAAAGCATGGATTTTAATTACTTCACGTAAATTTAAATGCCCCACCATATAGTGTGGTGCAGTCAGGGAACTCTCAGAGGTTGCAATATCAGACTCAAAGTGTGGTTGCTCCAGTCTTCTCTGTGTTCAAGATGTGACATTTTCCGAGATTTGACACAATGACTTTTGAAAATTAAAATTGAAATTCAATGAACATTGTGTGATATTAGCTTAAGCTAAGCTTTTGCAAGTCTTGTCTCCAAATTTGAATTCTGAAATTCTATTAGCTTCCAAGGTATGCCGTTTTTATGATTCATTTCAAAAGTTTTCAGATTGAAAAAATTCACAAAGTTAGAATTACTGAACTGCTTGGTGCTGTGAGGTGTTGTCACGGTGCTCTGAGGAGTTGTCAAGGTACTCTCAAGCATTTTATTTTTGGCCTAAAATTTGGTCGCCTTAAACTTTTTTGGTTGCCGAAAAACGGCGTTTTCATGATTTTTTTTTAAAATTGTCGACGTTTTGGTGTGGCAATTTTAGGGTACTCAGAGCTATTGCAGATAAGACCTACACACGTGCGATTTCGCAAGTTTCTGAGATATCACAATTTTTGCTATTTCAAAACTTGGATTCAAAAACATTCTCGACTTCCTTGCGTGGTGATATTAAGTTACTCCCAGAGGTGGCAGATGTGGCCTCCAAATTTGACTGCTCCGATAAATCCATCCTTTCATCCAGCGATCTGTCCAACCAGTCGTCCACCACTAAAACCCTGCAACCAACGCCAGTCGTCAAGCCAATCATTCATTTATTGGGCCATCCATCTGTCATGCTATCTATACATCCATCCAAATATCCATACATCCGTCGAGGCATTCATTCATCAAACATTTATTTCATCTAGCCATCAATCCAACCAGCCGTTAAATTAACCATCTATCCCTCCATCCAGCCATATATACATTCAACTAGCCATGCAGCCATCTGTTTTCGCCTTCAGCTATCCCCCATTCAGTCATACATTCCTTCATCTAGTAATCCATCCAAACAGTCAGTCATCCATCCAGGCATTTATTCATCCGTCCAGGCATTTAATCATCCAGCCATCCAAAAGGCACTCGATTAGTCCATACAGCAAGCCTTTCATTCATCTCGGCCATCTAGCCTTCAATCCATCTAGAGGTCAATCCATCCACCAATCCAACGATCCATTCACCAAGCCACTAATTGGCTTGATTTTACAACCAAGTATTTAACCATCCTTACATCTCGCCATTCATTGCATCTCGCCATTTGGAATAAAATTAGATACTAAATCGGTTTTCTCTAATTGAGCCAGGTTTATGAAAAAAATGTTAGTCATACAAGATGCTTGAAATCAAAGAGCTTCAAAGTGTTCCAAGCTTTCAAAGAGATTTTTCTGCGAAACTACCCAACTGCTCTTTTCGGTATCCTTGAATTGGGTCTGATGGCTATCCTAATGAAGATTTAACTTTACCGAACCAAAATAACTACCAGACATATGAAATTCGTCCCATTGTTTAAGCCTCAGGTCGGATTTGAAAGTCACTGTCATTAAATGAAATTGCGAACACCTATTGATCTAATTTTCTCAGATGGTGTTTGGTCTATCAAAAATTTTTTAGCAATGCATGACTGTTTAAAACTTTTCCCATGCTTGTTTTTCACTTGCCAGACTTGTTTTACAGTAAACAACTTTTTTTTTTACAAAAAGAGAATTATCACGACTCGACTTTCAACGCTCGTCTATGCAAGAATTGCCTGCTTTTTTACTGCTTCGAAAATTTTGTTGCAATGCTGATTTAACTTTGATAATGGTCTTTCTCAATCTATTGAAACAAATGGAGACAAACGCATGAAAAATTGGTAGTTTTAGTTTATTCGACTTTTTATGCCAAAAATAATTGTTTGACTTTTTAGCTTTTGTCTACTTGTCTGTTGGTTAGCTTGCCATACTGTGTTTGTGATGTATTGCAATTGGTGTGTGCGTCTGTATAAATAATGTTTCATTTAGCTCTTCGAATGATCTGTTTTTTTTTTTTTTTCAGTTGAATAGCTAACTTTTTTTTCTGTTGTCTAGCTATTTTTGAAGTCCCAAAGTTAGTATAATTGATTTTGTTTTGTCGAACTGCGTTTTCATGATGTTTTGTGAGCAAGTTTTAGTGTTTATTTCAAATGCACAGAAGAAACAATTTGGCCCATGTGTAGAAGTCGAAAGTTAAGTCAAAACAAGAAATACAAAACCTTTTTCTGAAGTTAATTTTTTTGTTTAACTCAGTTCGAACTATCGAGGCCTCTTGCTCGATGTTTTTTGTAGTCATTTTTTTGGAAAATGGTTATTGGTCAATGCCAGATAGTTATATTATATGATTTAAAAGGGTGCTTTTGTTTTAGTACTGTTAAAATTTGTCGTGACTCCAGGGTGGAGGATTTCCCGAATGATGTTCTCAAAGTGGGCCAGTGCTCCAGAGAAATTGGTAAGGGTGTCTGGGAATCCAGCTGTACTCCGGAGGATGTGCTCATTTGTAGATCTCCCGAGATTCTCGGATGTGCTTTTCTCTGTGACCCAATGGCCGACAATGAGGCGCTGGAATTTAGTGGCTGCAGTGTTTTCTCACAGACCAAAGGAGTCTCAACCTCATTTGAGTTTGTCGCTTCTGCCGTGGCGTCTTGTGGAAGTGTAAAAATGAACTACTCCAACCTATGTGCAATAGATGGACAGGATTTCCAGGTGATGAAAATTACAAAAAAGCAAATTGATAAAAAATTTGTGTAATTGGAGGTTTTTATCCACTAGGCATCGACCTTGAATATTTGAGCTGCTGCTTATAAATCTGCAAATTTTTGAACTGCAATGTTGTCATGCAAATTTTTTGTAGCTCATTTGTTTAGCAACGGATGCGGGTTTGATGCGTTATTGAACTTTTGAAACGTTATGGCACTTAAGTTTTTTGTATGCACGCTTATTTGGCTATAAATACCTGTTTCGAAGCCTATGTTCAATAGAAGTATCAATAAAATCTACTGTTATCTCACTATTTTCAGATTTAATAATAAAATTGCCAATTTTTAAACATTGCTTAGGCTTAAAGAGATTGTTCGTCTGCATATTATGTTTTAAGAATCTATTTAAACTTAAGGGTATCCCAATGGGCAGTCAATTCACGGAAGAATGTGTGCTGCGCGAGATCAACAAGTGCTACATTGGACTATTGCCACAATCACAACTACCTCAACGTCACATCAAGATCAGTGCACTATCCAAGTACGCTCACAAGCTATCCTCCAACATCTTCAACGAGGCCAAAATCCAGGCACAAACAGTACAGTTTCAGAGGAAAGCAGAGAGTAAGCGAAAAGTGGCTGAGACATTTGCAGACACGGTCATGAATACTCTGGTGAAAGGATTGCCAGTTTCTCTTAAACAGAGAAAACCAAATGTGCCTGGCAGCTCTAGTAGCCAGTCTACTTTGTTGGGACATCAAACGAATCATGCGGTAGCTACTCAGCTCAGCGGCTCAGATAATGTTACAGTCACCTTTACATTTGCAGATGATGGAACCAGCAGCACTACTTCTCACCTAACCACTCAAATGAGGAGAAACGACACTCTGGCTTTTAGTCAAGAAAGTCCACCGAATGTGGCACCTATTTTGCACAGGTCGCAAGCGCTAGAAGATTTCGCAGATAGCTTTTTATCCAGTTTGTTTAAAATAGTAATTGACCAGTTGTTCCCGAAAATCACCAGGAGAATGTTTGTATCGAAAAGGAGGCGCAGCTCAAGTAGAACTGTTTCACTCAGTCAGAGCTTCAGTCTTTACGATATAGTGCGACCGAACGGAGAAGACAAAGAAACTACAGGAAATAAGACGACTGATAAAGGTCTGTGTAATTTGGGGTTGTTGAGACCCGTGAATATTCTGGGCAATAAGGCCGACGAACAATCTAACTTCTTTTTGGGAGACATTGAAGAAGTTTCGGCCGATTTCATAACTGATACTTCTGATTGGTCCAGTCGAGGAAGTGCCAAGTACAAGAGCAAACTGCCTCTTTCAAAGTCAGTGGCCGCTGAAACATTTTATAGGGGTCGTAAGTTTGCGTCTATCCGAGACCAATACTCAAATATAATGGCCACCCAAATTCTAGCGGAAGCAATTGCGTCCTATATTAACACTCTTGCCAAGAAACGAAGTTCTACGGGATCGTCGCTTAGTCCTAGGTTAGAGTCAAGTCTCTCCGATGATGCTAGACGTGGTTCTGGGATTCATACGGTTGAAGAGTATTCAGGGTTTCTTTCGGATAAAATAGTAGTCGAGGCACTGCAGTTTCTTTGCTCAGGACGTGCTGTTAAGTCATTAAACGACAGGTTCTTTCCAATTGAGTATGAAGATTTAGACGATGATTCCTATTCAATACATTCCAATCAAGCCAGTAATAGAGGACTGAATCCTCCTAGTTTTTCTTCCAGCAACCAAAGAAGAAGGTCCAATGCTTCTTTACGGAGGGCATCAGGAACAACCGTCTCATCTAATACAATGAATGAGAGGCTTTATAGTTTTTTCGTAATAACACTTTTCTTCAAAGTTTGGTCACTGTTGCTAACGGTCACGCAATCTTTTTCAACTCACTATAGAAGAAGAGAGTTCGACGTAGACTTACCGCGTGATAGCAATTTGAGTGCAATACAGTTGGAGATTGAGGGAGAAAACGCCAGAGGCGACAGCAAAAGGGCTTCTTTAGATTTGTCTGTAGATGAGCATGGAAACCAAATAATGACGTCATCAGCTCGTCCTAGATTGCAGCGCGGTGCAGGTGGACGGAAGGGTAACGAGAAAATGTCATTAAATGTCTCCGTCATTGATCGAAGATTAGACATGTCCAATGAAAACAAGGCAACTGTTACTCATTTTCCTTCGTTCCCAGTCGTATCTCACCGAATGGTAGGCGATTCAAAGACGTTTGGAGGATCCAGTTTTTCGCTGAATACAGTACTACATAACACCTGGAACACCTATGATTTTCCAGGTCGGCGGGATCTTACGACTGTTGCGACTCAAACTATAGGCTCAGTTTCATTCGGAGGCGACGCACAATTCAAATTTTTTATTCTCTGGATTTCGGCTTCTTTGGCTGGACAAGAGAAGCTATTGTTCCATCCTAGTGGAAATAGCAGTCTTAATGATCTGGAGAAAATCGTGTGTTTGGTTAAAGATAATGATGCAACAGCGGGAGATCTATTCGAATTGTTGCGAAAGTACTGCGATTATGTAGATCTATTCAAATCATACGACAGCAACAAACAACCGAAATCATTTTTCTCATTTTTAGAAAATTTTTACTCATGACGGTTATCTGATTGCTGATTGTTCTCAGATGTAGTCAGTATATTCGTGTTGATAGTATAATAATAAATTTATTTGCTGACCTTTGTTTTCAGAGTCAAAAGCGTTTTGGTTATTAAATCCTGAAAAATTGATGAATCCAAAATCTACTCGCAAGTTGAAACCAAATATATTTCTCAAGCAAAACAGTATTCGTCTATCATTACAAGGGAGATTGGGAAATACACTATGAAAAACAATTGGCCGATAACATTGAATTTTATTCTAAGCAGTAAAGTATGATGCCATTCTGACGAATTGTTCTGATGAAAATAGAATGTTGAAAAATAACACGCCTCATTAATTTTCCCCCGTTTTTAATGAAAAAAGGTTAAAAGCTGTTCAAGCTCAACCTTCAGTTTTTTACGGTTCAATTTTGATTTTCTTTTAAGTTCCGACCACATTCGTAAAAAAAAAATACAAACAATTTTTTTTTGTTCAAGTTTTGTCATTTTCTAGTGCGTGGTGTGACGGGGAACAAAACAAATGCACAGAAAGTTAGTGTATAAGACAATCGTCAAACTGTGTTTCCAAAAAATGAGTCACAAACTATAATTGAAAAAAAAATAAAAAAATATTATCTAATTTTTTCTGCACATTTCTTAGCCTTAAAGACCAATTTTCAGATATCGAGTGTTACTCGATCGCTTTACTCGCTCGAAATTAGACTAAAAGTCAAAAGATTCAAACCGATTTTTCTCGACTTTGGGACAGGTTTTCGAAAGTTTTTCAATTTGGTTTGAATCACGACTAAAAAGGCTTTATTATGATATAACTCGACCCATTCCAATGAGAACACAAGCATAGCTTGTGTTATATTATGAACTCTTTTTTTTCCAACCTCAGTCGCAAATATTGTTGCGATGCAATTATTGCGACCAAATGTGTTCATTTTGATCCAGCTATTAAGTAAAGCCAATGCTAAGGATATTAACACAGACTATTATATTACAAATATCACTTTAGCTTTAAGGAATCATAGATCTGTTGCGTAGATGTAGAGAAGGAGACCACCATAAAAATAAGAGGGTTCGAACCTGGGCAAGTTCAGTTTATTTCTTTTTCATTTTAGTTCATTACTATCGAACAACAAAAATGAAAGGTCACGAAAAAATTGATCGCTTTCTAATTTTGAAAGGGGATTTTAGTTTTCAAAACAGTGGAATAAAGGTTTTACGTATTGATCTAGTTTTTACACACGAAAAGCTTGTGCTATAGTATGAACTCTATTTTTTCCATCCTAACTCGCAAATATTATTGCGACAAAATGTGTTCTTTTTGAAAGTGTTAATTTGGATCAATAATCAGCGATAAAGTACAGCAAATGCTAAGGATAATAATACAGACTATTATATTACAAGTAGCACTTTAGTGGCAAGGCATCATGGATTCCTTGCGTAGAGGTAGGGAATGAGAAATGCAATAAAGTAAGAGGTTTCGAACCTGGGCAGGGTCGGATGTTTTTAATGAACTTTCTCGTATACTATTCAAAATGCGTCCGCTCTACTGCTAAATTGAGGAATGCTAGTTGGTAAATTTGTTTTTTTTTTAAATTGACTGGTACTGCTAATGCGTCATAATTGGCTTGCGTCACTACGCAATTATTTAGACGCTTAATTGGCGTGCGTCACTTAATAAATTTTGTAGACTCGAAGTTTTACTCATTCAGTTTTTCCCAGAAGCGTTATCGGTTATATTTTTGCTTGTGTACGCGAAGTGCAACTTCACCTCTGTATTATTTATGGTACCTGTTTTGCGCGGAACGCTAAACACACCCGAAGAGAATTAAGTAAAATCGTTTTTTTTGTGTGTTTGAGTGCATTGACACTTTATCGGACGGCCTCTTGGCTATTTTAAAGAATGGTTGCCATGAAAACTTTTGGAAATGAATTCAGATTTGAGGTAATCTTAAATGAGTTCTCAGAGCATCTGTTTCGTTGAAATTTTGCTCTTAAATTACAAAAATTTATCTGTATTTGGGATATTGATCATTAATGATTCGATCTGTGTTTCAACAACTTGAGTTTTGATTGATTGTCTGAAATTTTTTTTGTAGTCAAATTGGAAGCCTTTAAAGCCAGCAAAAAGCTGTTAATTCAGCTTTGGGAAACTAAAGTTTTTAGCTTAAGGCCATTTATTTTTCTCTAATTTCGAAAATTTTCAAAAAACCATAAAGTTTTTTTCCTTGCGTTTATTGACTCTTCTCCAGCTGTTTGTTGGCTATTTTTATGATGTTTCTCAAACTTTTCCCACGATTGCTTGGTGGTCCTGATTTTGCATGGAAAGCTAAAAAAAACTAAACCATCAGAAAACCAAATTTCTCCCCATTTTTTGATGGAACCCGAAAAAACCTGAAAAAAACTTTCGAAAGTTGGTTTTAATTTACGATGTCCAAGCGGAGTAAAAAAAGAAGCAATTAATCCAGTTTTCTGAAACTGGGTTAAGCTAACGAAAAATGGCTCAGAATCGAAAAATTTTGAACTGCTGCAACGTGATAGATTCCGATGTTCGAGTGCTGAAAAATGTATTAAAACGTTTTGAAAGTGGTTTTCGCTTATTTTTTTTATTTGCAGTTGAACTGTTGATTTCTTTTCAAATTCATTTCATATTCATTCGCGAAAAGGAAATAAATTTATGCTCTTCAATTACAAAAAAGGATATGGCACGAAGAAACGTGAAAGAAAATTAGTTTCGAAAGTGGGTTTTAGTTTTTAGATTTTCTATTTGAATAAAATAATACTTTATTGATCCAGTGCTCTCAAATTTGAGTTTTATGACTAAGGTGCCAACCATTAATTTTTAAACCGAAACTCGTAAAAACTGAAATTAGTTTTTTTCCTGTTTTATTGAGTGCATTGACATTTTTTCCTACTGCCTCCTGGCTTTTTTTTCAAAGAACGGCTGCGAAGAAAAAATTGGATTTGAAATCAGATGAGGAGTGATTCGGTTTTAATGCGAGTTTTATTATAGACTCTATTTTAGAACTAGTTTTGAACGCTTCAGTATCGCTTTTTAGGCCCCAAACCATAGATTTTGAAAAATAAATCTGAAAATTTTCCTTTTAGAATAAATGAAACAATTTTTTGTCGTTTTTTTTGTTAATTTTTGAAACAACTGTAGTAAAACATAAATACTCAAAAGTAACTGTGTTCATAACTTTGTGCACATTGCTGTTAGGTGTTGCTGAGTTTAATATTAAATTGTTCTAAAACGGTTTACATCTTTTCACATAAAAACCTGATTATAAAAAAAACTTAATCCTGAATCCTAATAATTTATAACCCGTCAGATCTTCCGATCCAGTGTTCCTTCGAATGAATTAATTTCACTTAAAAAGTATAGTTTGAAAATGCTGGCTTAAAAGCGGATCATTCAAATACGATTACAATGCAGTCTGAAAAACTGAAGTTGTCCGCAGTCGTATAAATAGTATCTATCGATATATTGTATAATTGGTTTTTCACGTGAGACATTATTATGAAGTCCCTAGCCATTTTTATGAAGTCTCTATGTCGACATATTTAAGCTTTTTGAACGTATTAATTTTTGCATGTTTGACGAAAGATTTTTTGCATGTTTAAGCTATATCGTACCGGTAATGCTGAAAAAATTTCACTTGGCTTATGTTTAAGAAGTTGCTTGTTGGTCTGTTAAATGGCCAAACCATTGAAAGGGTTGAAATGTTTACTCAAGTCAACTTTTAAAATCTGTTGTTGGGCGAATGCCTTAACTCGATATTTTTTTTTCGATATTCGCTACGTAAAACTATCCTTTTTTTTGTATTACAATTGATTGAATTAAATTATTTTTCTCTGTTTTATAGTGGGTATTGTTGGGGTACACTCAGCGGTTGCATATCTGGCGTCCAAGTGTGACGGCTCAAATGGTTTTGGTGTTCCAGGTATGGCGATTTTTTCAATTTGTTTTATCAAAAAAACTTAGATATAAAATAAAGTAACCAAACTTGCTCAATTTTATATTGGGATATCGTCAAGGTACACTTATGGGTTGCAAATCTGGCGGCCAAGTATGAATGCTCAAATGCTTTTGGTTTTCGAGATATGTCGTTTTTCAGTTTTTTTCAAACTTAGATATAAAATAAAGTAACCGCACTTTAAATTCTCTACCCTATAGTGGGGTGCTATCAGGGTACACTTAGGACTTGCAAAGCTGGCGTTCAAGTATGGCTGCCCAAATGTTTTTTGTTTCTGTGATATGGCGTTTCTCTTCATTTTTTCATTATTTCTGCAAAAAAAAATTCTTTAGATTTAAATTCTTTACTTTATTTCTTTAGACTTTCTTTATTTCTTTAGATTTGAAAACAAGTTGTATAACTTGAAATTCATAACCCTATGCCAGGGACCAATATAGTGTAGCAAATATGACCTCTTATGCTATGTGCTCAAATCATTTTGAGATATGGCGTTTTTTATGAAAAATAAACCTCCTGAGAATTGAGCCCAGTTTATCTTCACGGTTCACTAAATTAGGGTCACTAAAATATCGCTGTCTTAGTACATCTTTTAGGAAGCTTCTTTGAAGCACCGTGGGTTCGAGTCATGCGCTTGTCTTGCTTTAATCGTTTTTCAAAAGAGATTAATTATAGACTACATTTAAAAATCATTTAAAAAATGTTTCTTTAATTTTTGTTTTTTGAACCAAAGCATAGGTCTGATGTTTTACCCCCCAAAGGTCATTAAAAATATGAAATTAAGGTAATATAATCAAAGCAGAAACATAGCATAATAATTAACTTTAATGGCAATAAACTTAAATTTAAATTATTTTTTGTCCCTGCTTATTACAGACGGCCGGATCTGCGATACGTACATGGTCGTGAATTTTTTCCTGGTTTGATTTTTGCTGTCTCCCTTATAAAGGTTTATTAAATTGAAAATAAGGTTTATGGTCTATTTGGTCCTTTTACACGGTTGTTCACAAATACAAATTATGATTGAAATTTGGTAATTGTTCCGACCATTGAAAATGGGGAGGAATTTTATATGTGGATGTCTTAGTTTTTTTTACGCAAAATCAGGTACCAATCAGGTTCTAATAATTATCGAACTGGGTTGAGTGATATGTCATGTTAGAGCCTTTGCAATCGTGACTCCAAGCACATTTAAAAATTTGGTTTATGCTTGATTTAAGCCGTTTACAATTACTTATTTTTAGTTTTACTCGAGTAGAGTTTTTAACGCCATTTTGGGAATCTAAAACAAAAAAAATGCTGTAATGTTTTTTGATTTTCATACGGTTATTTGTTTTTCTAGTCATACAAAATACAAAGTTTCTCCCCATTTTTTTTTCGACGGAACCCGAAAAAACCAACCTGAACGACTAACTTTCGAAAGTTGATTTTGATTTATGATGTCAAAGTGAAGTAAAACTAAGTAGCGATTGTGAAAAAAGTGGAACATTCTGTGCTACTTGCACAGTAACCGGCTATCCTTGTTATCCTTTGTGGTGAGTTAGATAAGCATTGAACTGATATAACAAAACTTAATTATTCATTTAGTTCTAATTACATGCCTGTGGGGATAGAAAAAAAACATTTGACATAATGCGAGACCAATCAGTAAGCTAGTTCATAAATACTTAAATAAGTTCGAAATCTGAAAAGTTTTTTTTGCTCGAGCCCACTGGCACTCCAGGTTTCCTTCGGCTATATAAGAATCATTATCCGAACGCTGCTTTCATAACTTTCACAGCATTCGTTTGATTTCTCAAAGTTCGCATTGCTTCAGGTTCCAATTCGAAAAATCAGTCGATGCAGTAAAGAATAAAGTTTAGAACTTAAAAAAATACTAATTAAGAAAATAAGAAGCGGAAATTATTTAGACCCTGGGCGAAAAATGTTTGCTTTTCAGTTTCTGTGATCCAATTATGATAAAATTTATCTACAACAATGAACTTAGTGAAAGTATTCTTTAAAATTTTGTTCCAGGATTTGTTTTTTTTTCATGATTTGATTTATGGTTACTTTTTAAGTTCGTATAATTTTCTTTTTTGAAAGAAATTCAAGCTACACTATCAAACAGAAAACAGTAAAGGTTATGAAAAACGTGAAAGACTTCTAGTTTTGAAAGTCGATTTTTAGATTTCCCAGTGGAATAAAAAATTATCTGGGATCGATTTTTCTTTTAAAATTAGGTTCATTTTATTTGAAAGTGTCAATCATAAATGGTTTCTGAAGTTCAACGAGTTTCAAATGCATGTTTTCCTGTGAGTTGTTTTGATTCTGTTTCCTTGCGTTTTTTGACTGCCTGTTGGCTATGTTTATTTATACTGACAACTAAGTGAGTGCGTTCCGAAATTATGCATTCGCAATTTGACAAATGAATGCGCTTAAGACAGCTTTAGACCCAGGAAAATTTTGTAGACTGCGGGCGATGAATGATGATGATCATTATGATGATGAATGGTGAAAGTAATAATGATATTTGAAGGATTCTAAAGCCATTATTCATGTGTTTTTAAGGTTTATTGCGTGTTGTTAGAAATATGGCGACATCACTTGATGGGAGGCTAAAGTCGTTTGCTTTCTACTTTGCGGCTGTTTCCATCATTTTCTTCAGTTTTTCCATCAATGGTCTGCTCGCATTTCTGGCTAATTTCAGGAACCCTCTCAATCCGCGCCTTAGATCTGCGTCTCCCACAGTTAGACCACCATTCCCGGGCAAGGACCTCAGTAATACCTTCTGGTTTGTACACGTAAGTTTGTTTGATAGACACACTATAGACATCGCCAATATTCAGTGTCCAATCTATTGGACTAAGAAAGAAAATAGACCAAAGTATGAGAATTATAGTAAGCTTGAATTTACCTGCTCCTTAAACGTGAATATAAATTTAAAAAATAGACTTAGGCAGTTATTGCTGCGGGTGGAGCATTCTGTGGAGCTTACTGTGCGTGCTCGTTGGCGTTGGTGCGATCCGAACATTTGTTTGGTATTTTTGTTGTTCCTGCAATTATTACATTTGTGGGACTCCAACGCTTGAAGAGATTCGAGTCTTGCTTCCGATTTTGAAAAGATTGAATCGGTGCGTAGAGTGGACGAAATGAGTGAAGTTCGGAAAAATAAAAAAGAAGTGAATCTTAGCCTTAATTTTTACGGCTAACATGAATGTTTCGCTTGATTTCAGCTCGCAATCGTTTAGATAAGTAAATTATCCACCCCTGCCATTGCTCTTACGAAAAAAAAAGATCCAGCAAAACAAGAAGCATGCGAGGAGCCTGTTGTTATAATGCTACTAGCGAAAGGAAACCGGCTATACTTGTTATACTTGAAAGAACTTTTCATGTTTGTTCAGGTGACGGATTTGCACATAAGTGAGCATAAGAGACCCGAGATTGCGTCTGACTTGGAGAAATGGTGTGTGCAGATGCATGATGTCATCAAGCCGCAGTTTATACTCGTAACCGGTAAGTCAGATTTGCAATGAGTTAGAATAATTACGCTTGAGATTAGCAAGCGTTATCAAGTTGGAATACAGACTTTTTTCGGTTAACAACTAGTTTAACAAAATTACTTGAATCACTAGACTTCATTCACGTGCACTCTATCCACTCACGTGCTGCCAAGCTCAATCTCCGGCAAACCTGGTATAGAGGTAGCAAGTGCGTAATAACTAATTACTGTTGGGTAGTTTCATGGGGACTTGAAACTTCTGAAAGTTTTTTTTTTTTTTTTTTTTTTTTTTTTTACAAAAATCAGTTTTTTTTTTCGGCTGTTTTGTTCAGTTCATAATTAATAACAGATAAAAACAGGTATTATGAAAGTGTATGGGATTGGTTTGAGACTCTTTGAAAAATTTTTGTCACTTTTTGCAAAAAAAAGCAATTTGACAAACATTTTTTTGGAGATTTTCAAAAAAGGGAGTCCATAAAAAGACCGCTTACTTTATCGTGTGCCTGTGCACTCCGCTGGTATTTTTTTGCTTTACACCGTAGGGGGGAATTTTTGACGAATATTTTTGAATTTTTTGTTTTCTCAAAAAGGAAGCTACCAAATCTGAAATTTTATTTCAATGAATAGAATGGACTTGAAAAGCTTCCATCCATTATGTCCCTCGGAATAGTCAAATTTTAGATTTTTAACCGTTTTTTGAAGCTCTGACTTTTCTTGAAAACTAACCTCCTAAACCTAAGTTTGTCGGTTCAATTGAGATAGCGGTAGTGGGGAAGCTCCCCTTAATTAGCGGCCACTCACAATTGTTTACAAAAACTTTTATGTCTCGGAAAAGTCTATTTTTTGAGCGTTTTTTTAAATTTTATGAATTTTACGGGAAAATACCTTCCTATATCTGAGATATCGGTTCAATCTAAAGAACTGGTTGTAGCAAGACTTTTGAAAGAACTGATTGTAGCAAGACTTTTGAATACGAGACGGCACCCAAAGATTTGTTTTGATCTAAAAATTATGGCCCTCGCAAAAGTCAGTTTTTTACTTCCCTTGAAAACTACCCTGCAAAACCTGGTTTTTGGATTCAATCGAAATTCGACTTGGGTTAATCTCTTCTGCATAAGCGGCTACGCTAATTTTTTAAAAATTAAAACAAAGCTATGATTCTCAGAAATGTTAACTGTCTGATTTGTTGACCGTTTTTTGGTTATTTCTATAACTGCCCTGCCAAATCTGATATCATAGGTTTTATGGACACTACAGGTTTTTGAAAGCTTACGTATATAATTTACTACGCACAGTCTTTTAGTAAAAAATATGGTCTCTAACAAGTGGAGGTATTGGATTTTTGACCGCTATTTACCGTGCCAATTCTCAGTTTAAGCGTTCGATGTGTTCAATCGCGCAACCCGATTTCGGAAGTCTTCTCTGCTGTACCGGCCGCGGCCTGCTGTTTTCTTTAAAAAAGTTACGGGATTCGGAAAGTCAAGTTTTTGAACTTTGACCGTGTTTTAGCAACTTTTTGAATTTTCTTAGAACTATCCTATCAAAATCTAAGAAAACATACAATCGAAAGAAGCAGTCGCGCGATTTTTTCCTCCAGCAGTGGTGATTCCTTTGTACGAGAAAGGTTATGTATTTGCGAAAGTTCCAAAATCTCAAAAGTTTTTAACTCTCTTCACTAATTTTAGTAGAGAAACAACTAATGTTTTGGGCAACGTCCAATTTTTGAAACTACGCATGTCCAGCATCAGTATAACAAATTCAAAAAGTTTCAAAGACGTACCCCCCGCTTTAGTTGGGCCCTAAATGTCCTTCATCGACACATACGAAAATTTCGGTTCACCTATTTTTAAAAGCATTTTTCATGTTTTTTTTTGGTTTTCTGCTTTCCTGATTGTGTTGTATCGCATGTGGTGTGAAGCTCCACTTCGCCTCTGTGTACAAAGATTGAATTGCTATTGTGTCATTTTTGATGAGTAGTTTTATATCATATTTTGCTGATTATTTGAATGATATGAATTAGAAAATAAGATTTTTTATTAACCGTCGTATAATCAGGCCGTATGTGTCTTCGTAATGCAATTAGCATATCGTGGTTTTATGTCGCGTCCTTTTTACTACCATTCACTACCATTGCCTTGCGAAATGAATTGTGTATTTATAGGAGACTTAACAGACGCGAAAGCGAAGGATCAAGTGACATCGTATCAGCATAAGAGTGAGTGGCAAACTTATAAGAGGACGAGGGACGAGTGTTACTCCAGAGCCGCCGCTGCGCAAGAAAAGTCTTATGTCGATGGCAGCCGGAAGAACCTTGCGCCCTGGATAGATATTCGTGGAAACCATGGTAATAAGTGAGTTACGAATAACCTTGAGATAGGCAATAGTATTGCTTCTGGATGTAAGATTGTCCCGCTGAGTTTTTTTTCACTGAGTGAATGCGACAGGTCTTCTTTCTCATATAAGTCATTTAACAATAAATTTTTGCGTTTTTTTTCTGCATGCCTTGGGGCTTGTTTGTTAGCAACGAAAAGTTTGCTCCACACGTTCAATTCAGTCAATTTAAAATATTTCTTTGTCAATTTAAAACATTTCTTTCAATGATCTGTTGTCAGTTGTTAGCTGCTTCGTGTCTAATAATTAAAAAAATGGTAAAGTGTGATTATAATTGTTATTTTTTCCAGGATAAGTTATTTTTAGAAACTTTGAATGGTCAAATTTGTTGCTCGCAATTTGATTTTAGATTTATTTTCAAGTTCATCTCAAATTCAGTTGCTAAATGCCACCGCAACTGGCGCAGAAAATGCACCTTCAATTTTTCGAAAGAGTTTTTCATCTTTCAGATTGACGAAAATAGTTAGAACGTTATGTAGTGATTCAGTTTTTACATTTGCGATTAGCAAGCGTTGTCAAATCGGAATATGGTTTTTTCTGGCTGAAATTTTGCTGAACAAAATCACGGAATCAGTTCTACTGCTATCTTTTGTGATGCTGACGTGATCAGTTTTTAAAGCTCTAAACTGAACTACTGAATGCAAATCCGAGTCACTACTGATAAATGTCCGATCTAGGAGTCTAATCTTTTTTGTTTAAAATAATCAAAATTTTAGAATTTATGAATATCAGTATATTTTTCTGATTGATAAAAATTGATTTTTCGGCTTTTTGAGTATTCGGGTATAAATCTGTTGGTTTAATTCTATTACAATTTTAATGTCTACATCTTCGGCCTACTTGGCGTGTCGGAAAATTCTATGCCTGGGATGACAAACATCCTGAGTTTGAAACCTTTTACTATTGGTTTGTTTTCCTATTTAAAAAAGTCGGCCTGTCGTTGATCTGCTAACTTTTTTGAGTTTTAGTTTCTACAGCGCGGACTCGTGAAATAATCAATTTTTACATAATTAAATGCTGTTTTGATTTATTTCAATATCTTGTAAATTTTTAATTGAAGCATCTTATAGCTCTTAGTGATTTTTTTTTAGGAAATAGTTTTACAATATGTTCACATGAAATTTGTTTTTTTTTTCGCGGTTTGGCTGATAATTACTCTGAGCTTAACTGAATGCAAATCCGGGTCACTGATGGTAAATGTCCTATCTAGGATTCTAATAATTTTTGTTTCAAATAAATAAAAATATTTACACTTGCGATCAGCTTGGTGTAATATTACGAACATTCTTTTTCTTAGATAATTCGCAAATAAGTGTTCATTTATTTAGAAATTTCCCTGTAGCATTGGAAATTGCATAGCATCTGTTCTCTGCTTTGTTTTTGGCTAGTGTTTGGTGCCTAAGCTTCCGTGGCTGAGTATTTTGTGTGAGACTCTTAATCTCTAGGTCGCGGGTTCGAATCTCAGAAAAACTCGAATTCTTACTACTTCGAGGCTTATTTTTAATTTAAATTTAAGAACTTTATAGCGCTGCTATTTGTCGTGGTCGCGGAATTGTTTGCCAAGCGAAGCTTCGCCTCTGTGTTGATTAATTAAAATTAGATTTTTCGGCTTTTTATGTTTTCGGCTATAAATCTGTCGGCTTAGTTCTCTTTCAATTTCTATATCTTCTCTGGCCTATTTATTCTCCGGTGGCCATGTTTGTCATTCCTGGCGGTAACTTCAATGCCTGGCTGGGATGACAAACATCCAAAGTTCGAACCTTTTTATGACTGGTTTGTTTTCCTATTTGAAAAATACCGGCCAATAGTTTGTCCGCTACATGTCTTACTTGCCACAGCGCAGACTTCTTGCGATTTAATCAATGTTACATAAATTAAATGGCGCTTTGGTTTCTTGCCGTAGTTTAAGCTACCTGATTTATTGTGTTTAAGATTCGTAGTGATGAATGTGATAGGTCTGCTTGATTTTTTCCAGGAAGTCTTACAATACGTCCACGCTCATTTTCGATTTTACATTTCAATGAGCGCAGTGAAGACTTACTATAGCTTGACTTATGATTTATTCTTAAGTTCAGTTCATTTCCTTTGCTAAAAGGAAAACAAACTCTACTATCAAAGATCAGAAATTTAAAGGTCACGAAATACGTGATCGACTTCTGATATCGAAACTGAAATCGAATTTTCAGATCTCCCAGAGGAATAAAAATTTTACTTTATGATCCAGTTTTCTCAAATTGAGTTCATTTTATCAACAAAGTGTCAAAAATCTATAGGAAGTGTTGCAAATCTCCGCTTCTCTGCTAGGTTTATTTTTTACTTGAAAGCTTTTTTTTTCGCTAAAGTTTTAGCTGAGGTTATATCGACTTGGTTGAATGATATTGCGTTGCTTGAGGGACAAAAGGTATTTTCATGATAGTAGATAATCAATGTGAAATAGTTTTCATGCAAATTGTTCTACAGCTCAAGTTTTTTTGGAATTCATTTTTTTTTCTGATTAACGAGCGTCTCCCGTAATATTGACGGCATACTTACCGCTTCGTAATTTTTTCATGCTTATTTTATGCTGGCTTGACATGCCTTTAAGAAAATGAATTTTTTTGCAGCAAATCATGATAAACTACTTTTTTTTAAATAATTATCTAGCTCAGCTTCGCCTCTGTGTTACAGAAATGGTAAAAAAGTATATTTCAAAAAACAGTGTTGTTTTTTCTCATGAAAACTGTTCACTCGAAATGTTTATTTAGGAAGTTACAAAATGATTGATTGCAAGGGTTACATAGAGAAATTAAATTGAAAGCTAAAATCTAGTTTTTATAATCCTTATTTAGTGAAATGCTAATTTTTTCTCTTGCAAACTGTTCATTGGAACGGTTTATTTAGGAAGTTACAAAATGATTGATTGCTAGGATTACATTGACAGATTAGGTTGAAAGCTAAATATATATATTTTTTCTTATTTAGTGAAATATTAGTTTTCATGTGCTGATTTGAATAGTGTTCAGACTCGTTCGATATGGACTTGCGCGATACACAGGGTGGGCCTGTGAACTGGTTCAAGCAACACGTGGCCACGGAGCATCACAACGTGTCCCACTTTGTAGTTGAGAAACAGTTTGGAAAGTACTCCTTCGTCGGAGTTGATTTCTCCCCCAACCCTGGTCCCTCTAGACCACTTAACTTCTTCGGATATTACGACCACGAAAGAGGTGACTAATGAACTCATCGCCACCGATTCTTTTTCACATGCAATAGGATGTCGTAAAGGTTTTTCTACCCTTGGAAGTATTCAGGCAACCCTAAGAGACGCATTGTTTCAGATGGAGATCAATTGGCAGCCCTGATCGAGTCAGAGTCGAAGTCGAACTTGACTTTCTTCTACGGGCACCACACACTCAATGTGGTCACCTCATCGGAGAAGTTTTTCGCCACCCTCAGGTTCGAGCTCCCTTTACTCAAAGTTAATGATTGACAGGCAACGTGGTAATCGACGGTGGCTCAATTTGTGCAATACAGCTTTGTTTTTTTTTATAAAACTTAGTAAATAATATTTCTAAAGCCGAGACAATCTGAACTGCTGCGTCGTTATGTTCTAAATTAATTTCTCAAAAAATAAATAAGTATGAAATTACAAACCACTCGAAAATCAAATAACACGTTATGACATTTTTGCTTGCTTTTGGACGTTTTTAAATAGAAAGATTGCTTTTTAAGAGTCTATGAACATAGTGAACACTCTTCTAGTTCTAGATTTTTTTTGTGGTTCGATTTTTTGATAGTTTTTAAGTTCAGTTTATTTCTTTTTCATTTCAGTTCATTACTATCGAACAACAAAAATGAAAGGTCACGAAAAAATTGATCGCTTTCTAATTTTGAGAGGGGATTTTAGTTTTCAAAACAGTGGAATAAAGGTTTTACTTATTGATCCAGTTTTTACGCAAAGCGTGTGTTATAGTATGAACTCTATTTTTTCCATCCTAACTCGCAAGTATTATTGCGACAAAATGTGTTAATTTTGAAAGTGTTCATTTTGATCAATAATCAGCGATTAAGTACAGCAAATGCTAAGGATAATAATACAGACTATTATATTACAAGTAGCACTTTAGAGGCAAGGCATCATGGATTCCTTGCGTAGAGGTAGGGAATGAGACCCGCAATAAAGTAAGAGGGTTCGAACCTGGGCAGGGTCGGATGTTTTTAATGAACTTTCTCGTATACTAGTTAAAATGCGTCCGCTCTATAAATTGAGGCATGCTAGTTGGTAAATTTGGTTTTTTAAATTTGACTGGTACTGCTAATGCGTCATAATTGGCTTGCGTCCTTACGCAATTATGTAGACTCCGAATTGGCGTGCGTCTCTTAAGAAATTTTTTAGACTCAAAGTCTTACTCATTCAGTTTTTCCGAGTAGCGTTATCAGTCATATTTTTGCTTGTGTATGCGAAATGGAGCTTCGTCTCTGTGTCTTAAATTGGGATATCCTAATCAAAAAAATGTCAATCATAAACTGTTCTAGAAATTCAAAGATTTTGAAAGCGATCTTTTTTTTCTTTGAAATACTGAAATTTTGCTGAAAATACTAGTCAGTTTTGCGGTCATTGACTCTTTTTCAACTGGCTGTTTTTTTCAAGTGGCAACTGAAGTTTTGAAACTAACAATTTTTTATGAAATTTGAAATTATAAAAAAGTCATGAACAGTTTCGCAGCTGTCTGGTGTTTTTGCTGTTTATATCCTAATTAGGGCTAATTTTCGAAATGCATAAATTTTACTTTTACTTTGGCTCATTGTTAAATTTGTTACGTGCAGTTTATTAGATGGCACATATGCTAGGATATGCAGCTTCTAGTCTCTCGGTCGTATTTTCGAATCCGCCACAGCCGAATTTTTAATTTTCAAGGCTTTTATTTTTTTAATTTCTTTTTTTACATCAGTTTTTGTCATTTTCTTGCTTGTGTTTGCAACGCGCAGCTTCGCCTCTGTGTCAAAATTAAAAATGTAATTGAATTGCCTTTTTAATTAACAAAATTAATGTCTGATACCGAACCTCCTATCCTAAATGAAAACTCGGTGATTTATTACAATAGGTGGTAGGTTCAATTTCAATAGCTGGATCGATTTTTGTTATACTTCGCACATTATTTATGATTTAGTTCAAAAACCAAATTTTTTGGCGTAAGAAGTGTAAATTTTGAGTTTATGCATAGCATTTCATTTGGCAGATTTATGTATTTACAAAAACAATCTTAGTAGTAGAACAATTGATTGAAAATGAAATGACTTTATGATTCATAATAGTTCTGAAATTTAATACATGCTCAAAATTACCACCTATTGTAACATATCACTGAAAACTTTTTTGAAAACTCTATATGAAAATTATACGGAAATTTCAATCAGATCGCTAGTTTGTTTCGTAGTGCTACCCAATTCGTGTAAGTCTTTGCCATTTGTTTTGTGAGCGTCGATCACCTTTGGTACCAATTCACAAGATCTACTTATCGCCTACGAACCCTGAAACATTTCAAAAGGCGCCAATTAATAGTAAATTTGAGAAAAGAGCGCGAGCCAAAAAACTTAACTGTTTATCAAGACTTTCGAAAGACCCTCCAAAAATGGCATTTTTGGCCTGTTTTTTTTTCTTGGAAATTTTCTTGAAGCGCCGAAAATTTTAGGCAAGATAAAGTTTTTTCGAGTTGTTTTGGAGCGCGCCGACAATCAACCATCTCGTGGTCTGAGGAAGTTTTATCTAATTAAATATTGAGTTGGAAGATCCTACCCTGGTCTATTCAGAACGTAAAGGTGTTAACTTGATCATTATGGTGGTTTGACTTTTGAATTTTTTTGGTTGCTTTTCAAATCGAGTTTTTTAGAATAAATCAAATATTGTCTCCCAGTCGCCTCAAGCTGGGCTTGTTTCATTTTAGAAGTGAACGCAGATTGAAAAAAAGTTTTTTTTTTGAGCTTGAAGTTCAAATTCAAAGATCTTTAACTGTAAGGTGATATAAATTTTTCAATTGAACCCGAAAGTTAAAAAAAAATAAAAATCATTCTTTTTCCCATTTGAAGTTCATGTAAGTTTTTCAAGCTAATTGTTGGCTGTTTTCCCATCGATTGCTAACGAATGTAATTTTAAAAAATACAACCAGATAATATGGAAATAAAGTAGCAGCAAAGTGGCGGGTTTCGTTAGTATTAAAATTCATTGAAGCTGAGTTCTAGAATGGTGTTGTTCGTCGTGACTTCATGTTTTTGTTTGGTCAGTTTTTGTCAAAACAATTAAAGTGGTATTTTTTCTCAAATTCTATAGATACGGAGCAGTTTACCTCTGTGGCCACTTGCACGCGTTGTTGAACTCGAAAGGAACCCAACATCTTTACGGCTACCATCATCTCAGAGACTCCTCCCTGTTGGAACTAGAACTTGGCGACTTCCAAACCAACCGCAGGTTCCGTGTGATGGCGGTGGACCATGACATGATATCATTCACAGATGTGTCCTTCAACAGGTGGCCAGTGGTGGTCATAACTTGTCCCAAACATGCAGAATACACAATTAGGGACAAAGAACCACTTGGCAGAATGAATCACGCAACCCATATTAGGCAAGCTATCAGATATCTCAAAAATTGCATTATGAGGCCAAACTGTGCACTGGATAGGCGCTCAATTTTGTGTCTGTATGTTCCTGGATTCCAGAGACAAGTATTTAAACATATTAAAATTTTATCGGAACGATCAAAGGAAAATAAAGAACAAAAGAAGAACAAACGCTCAAATTACAAACGTGGAAATTGCGCGAAAAAAACGGGAACGGATTCTAGTTTTAAAAGTGGAATTTAATATTTAGATTTCCAGCCAGCGGAATGAAAACTTTACATATTGATCCAGTTTTCTCTAGTTGGGTTAATTTTATCCAAAAAGCGCCAATCATAAATTGTTCTAGAAACTTTAGAATCATAAATTTTTTGAACAAAGTGTGTTTTTTATGGTTACTTGCGTTTATTACTCTATTCCAATCTTCAATCGGCTATGTTTTAGCTGTATGAATTGAGAGAAGTAGTAATAAAAAACAACCTACAAAACCAGGGAAAAAAATTAACAAGAATTCGGAACAATAATCCGCAGAGGAATAGAGTTTACATATTGATGGAGACTATTAAGACATTTGGTTTTTGTTTTTCAAACTAAGTCAATCATAGAATTTTTTGTTTTATAATCAACCCTAAGGTTATGCAGTTTGATGTTAGAATTTAGTATCCAATGAAAAAAGTGCAAAGGGCGCTAAGAACCTGAGTGGATTGAAAGTGGATTTCAATTTTGAGATTTATCAGCAGAAAAAAATGAACTTATCTCAAATTGGGTTAATTATCAAAACAATATCGTTTTTTAATTCAAAAAGCTTCAAGGCCATATTCTGCTTTAAAGTTTGCGGGAGTTGAGGCTTTTTTCAATAAGATTCACAGTCTTTTGTCTATGTTTTTTCTTAAATTTCAGCAAATGGTCAGATTTGCCATTTTTGAACGTTGAATAGTTCCCGGTATACTCATAGTATTCTCCTATGATATCTTATCAACATCAGTAGTAGATATCTTATCAACATGGGGAATACCCTCATGTATTAAAAATAGATTATAGACTAACCGGTCATCACCCTTTGTATTAAGATAGGGAATAGGATTCCCTCTGTTTATACATAAGGTGATGACCGAATAGTCGATACCCCATCTTATTACATACATGTGTCATCAACCATCCCCCCTCGTATGTCTAGCTCTGACCAATACTGCTAACATCAGCTAAGTTAGTTAGAGTATCACAACTGTGATATAAGCTAAACCATCTTTCGCGAGCTCACAAATTAGCTTCATTATCGATAAAATATTTATATCGTTTTTGTGTATATCAAATGATATGAAATAAATATAGGATTTTAGTTTTTTATATCACGACTGTTTATATGCATGAAAATTAGACATACGTAGTTTCAGGACGCTTGTGTTCTCGCCAAATCCAATCAGCCAAGTGTTAGTCTCCGTAAGAGCCCCGGACAGTGGTGGAACTTTGTGGGAGTCTGCTGCAGTTCATTCCGAAGGGCCACTTTACGTTGCAGAGTGGCATCCCACTCAATTTGCTGTGGGAATTTTCTATATCCGAGTCTCAGTCAAGGTGATTATTTGAAATGGGGTTAGATTTAGGAGGAGGACACGTCCCCTTTTAGTACCTCAACTCCTCGCCAACCAAGGAATTTTTCCCAGAACAATTTCATGTCTCATTTTCGGCCATAATTTGGCACTATTTTTTTTTCTAAAAGCGCGTTAGGATCAAATAAACTACTTTGGGAGTGAGATGTGCCGGTTGATTTTGCTCAAAATCCTCCAAAGAGTACCCCAATCTCAGTATAGAAAACATTGCTTTTGGAGCCGTTCAATTTAGCAGGTCTTCAAAAAAAACATAAAAATATTTCATAATGTTGGTAACAAGTTTAAAAATTGGACAATATTAGTAATTTTAGTCTGAGTAGACAGGATAAATGTATTACGACAGGGAAGAGCTCACCTGACATCTTTTCAGGATTCTACCGGCGCTCAAACGGTGCTGGAACAACCTTTTTCTCTAGATGGGTCAGTGACTAAACTGCCCCTGGTCGCTTCTTTCATCATTGCAGCCGACCTCACTAAAGCCTCCAAAGTCCTCTTCTGGACTGTGCATAACTTGATGCTTGTGATGATGTTTCTGCTCAAAGTGAAGGCGACGATGTTAAGAAGTGAGTCGAAATTAATTGTGCTGAATTACGGGGGGTTAATTCAATGCCAATGTGGGGGGTTTAATCAATGTCAATGCAGTGTCAACGCGGGGTTTTTATTCTACGCTTCGCCGACTATACACGCTGCTGATGTTAGAAATATTTTTTTTGAATCAAAAACTAGCTTTCTGACTGGTCAGCTATTGAAATTGGGTTAATCTATCGGGTTAAACGAATCACAGCTGTGTAAATGGTTTTTGAACGAAAGTATGAAGAATCTAATTGAAAATCCTGTTTTTGCCGATTACAAGAGGATAGAGTTTTATATCTCAATAACCAATGAATTGAATTGTTTCTTGAATATTACTTGAAACTTTTTTTAAATAGTGCAAAAAGTTCCTTGAACTGTACGGTTTTCAGTTTTAAATAACTTTGAACAAGATTGATCCCTTAAAAACCGTTCGAAGTATTAAATGTTAATGAACGAAACGAGGTTGTGGAGTTGGTTTTTCTGAAGAAAATATCTTAGATGTTGATCTTAAATATTGTTCTTGAATCTTAAATTTTGAGTGCCATTTGAATTTTTTCAGTTGTTTAAGAGTCATGAAGGCATTGAGTACTCTTATATAGGCCTTGGGGATTTTTTGTTTGTTTTTGTAATTGAAAAATGCTTGAAATTTGTTCACGCTCAACTTTGATTTTTCGCTGTTGGACTTTTGATTTCTTTTAAGCTATATTTCCCCTACCAAATTCTAGCTTTGAAAACATTGGGTAACTAATAGAGCTTGCATTTATTGTTCCTCAACCGACCTCTTCGGCCTAAAAAACATTTCTTTAATAAACGCCTGCATATATAGTTCCTCACATTACACTAATTAAAAAGATTTGTTGATTTATTTTTACATACTATAAGTCTTTTTTTTTCAAACTAAGTCACAAATATTTGTGCCTCTTTTGGTGGCACCTTTACGGTTTTTTGATAGCATGTGCTTTGTCATTCGATTAGTAATAAGTTAATGCAGTTGATGGATTTTTAATTCATCAAATGAACTGAAAAAAAAAACTTATTCGCTTCAAACAGCATAACAAAAATAAAAGCTCGATTTCAGAAATTTTTTAACTTAATATGTCACCATATAATTTCTACATAATGTGGCTTTATGCTTTCCAATTTGTTGCATGCAAGTAAGTGCAGATGCCTTCAGTTTGTTATGTCGCTAATTATTACATGGAAGGTTCAGTAGACAGTTTTTTCTCTGTTAATTACATATTGCTTCAATTTTCCTTCTAGAGTTGTTTTTACAGTGGCTGTAAGGTTAAATTTAGCAAAAATGGCTGATCGAAAATTTTCGTTTGTTTCGAAGCGAAAACTATCCGATTTTTTTTCCTGAGCAATCACTACCCCCAAAAAGTTATCCCAATAAAAAGATTCCTTCATTCCGTTTTTTATGCTTGTTTTAATCTGATGAATCGTTACAACCCTGATAAAATGATAGGAGCTTGAAGAAACTTCATATATTCCTCTTGTCATACGCCATTTTTCCGTTTTATCAGTCAGTGGTTTTGGAACAGCAAAAATTTTGATGGTAGTTTCTATCTTTGTCATGTAGGTCTGTTTGCCGATACATTTTGTCACGTGTCCGGAAAATGCTAATTTATATGGGGCACCTTTACAGCTTTTTGATAGCACGTGTTTTGACATTCGAATAGTAATAATTTAACACAGTTGATGCATTTTTAATTCATCAAATGAACCGAAAAAAGCTGTTTGTTTCAAACAACATGGCATAATAAGAAAATAGATTTCAGAACATTTCTACCTCAATATATTTCGCAATTTTTAGAAGAATTTTTCTGAAATGCATAAATTATTTTAAAAAAAGTGGCTTAGTGCTCTGCGATTTGTTACATGCAAATTTAGTGTAGATCCCTTCAGGTTGTTGTACTCCACATGATTACTTGCAAAATTTCGTCTATTTTTGTTTGGTGCGATTTTTGCTGAATGGCATTGGCACTTTATTCGCATATGTTGCTGCTTTATTCGCGATTAGTGTTTATCGGTGGTTAAGTATAAGTGGCTAGTGCGTGAGACTCAAAATCTCTTGATTGCAGTAGGTCGCAGATCGAATCCTAGACCAAGCCGAATTTTTTGCTAATTCGAGGCTTATTTCTATTTTTTCTTGTTGCACTTTCTAGGGCTGCTTTTTTGTCGTGTTCTGGCTAGTGTTTGCGAAGGGAAGCTTCGCCTCTGTAGAACAATTTGCTGTATTTTTTGGTTTTAGAATTACTTTTGAACAATTATCAGAAGTTTCGCTACTTGAATGACTAATGAATGAATTTTTAAAAACTTCTGTGTAATTCCGGAAAAAAATGTGATTGCTCCTTAATTACTTCGCAATTTATAATATTTTGGCAAATTTTGTTTTTGTATCCCTACGCATTTGCTGCGGAGTGCCAATGCGCATGTCTGTTTAGAAATAAGATAATTTGTTAGTCTAACTGTTCATGTCTGTGTTTTAGGGATGCATGTGTTCAGTGCTCCAGTTTTCGGTCCTTTACTCCACAGCTTAGCAGTCTATGCATCGTGCAACAATCTCTTCAAGCCATTTGTTCTCTATCAACTTTGGATTGCATACGGTAAGGCATTTAACCAAGTTAAAGTTTTTGAGAAAAATTCGTGCCAAGTTTACAAATGTTTTCTTCAGTGATATGGCGAGTGTCGCAATTTTTCTATTGGGGGTTGGAGGTTTGAACAATTTTCTGCGCCGCACCTAAATCTTGGAAAAAAATTTAAAATGGCCTCTTGAGCACTTTTTTAAAAAAATTGACTAACAAGTTGCGTGCGTCCTTCGGCGCCCGCTCCCCCTTCAATTTTAGTTCTGTTGGAGCCAAAGGATCCTTTCCAAAGTTTTTTAGATTTGTCAGCCAAAATTGATTTTCGTTAATTGAATTATTCCCTCCTCGGCACGCTACTGTCATTAATTTAGGCCATGTCATTTTTTTATTTCAACGAAGAATAGTGTGATATATTCAAGTAATTTCTCAAAATTCAAATCAGAAGTGGTTCAAATCAGTATTTCAAGATTCAAATACGTATTTCAGACTGAAATAAGCGTGAGCTGTAATCCCATCATCAGAAGGGCTTACAAACATTTCAGCTGAAGGGCGTACAAATCTCGTCTGGAGTGTTGTTTTCCTTTTTCAGGGAAAAGTCTTCATCGTTGTTCGTGCTCATTTTTTTCGCGGTTTGACTTCTGATTTCTTTGAAAGTTCAATTCAGATTCATTTGCCGAAAAAAAGACAAGGTGAGGTTGAACTTAACATCTCTATCGGACATAAAGTCAGCCATTTATCTGTTTGGGTTGACCGAGGTAACACAATTCGCAACCATACGATGACCAAATTTTTAATTCGGAGTATCCAGGAAGCTCTCTCTCTCTCTCTCTCGCGGAACAAGTCCATGCTGCGTTTCATCTTATAGTCTTCTGTAAGCATCCCCAGCTAATGTTTCTAGCACAATTGGTATAGCTATCTCAAACTGCGGTTGAATATCGTCAAAAGCTCCACAAACTCGTGATTCAGCTCTTGAAAACATCTTTTTGGGAGTGTAAGTTCAGCTCAAACTCCATTATCGAAACGCAAAAGTGGAAAGGTCACGAAGAACTTGATCGACTTCTAGTTTCGAAAGTGGAATTTAATTTTCAAGATTTCTCATCGAAATGAAAAAATTACTCACTGATCCAGTTTTCTCTAATTGGATTAATTTTAGCAAAAAAGTTTTAATCATAAATTGTTCTAGAAATTCAAAGAGCTTTAAGTTCGTCTATTTTTTTTCTTTGCAATTCGAAAGTTGAGATCTTTCCAAAGAACGAGGAAGGGTTTTTCTATGTTTTGCATTCATTGGCTCTTTCCCAACTGTCTGCTGGCCATGTTTCTGTTTTTCGAAGAAAATGAGGAATAGATATTACTCCTTATGTTACTCTTATGTTATTCCTTATGTTGCTCAAATTTTAACACAGTATTTGACATATTTTTTTAACCAAAAACTATTGGAGACATAATATAGGGCAGTCTGAGCATTCAGGGCTTTGGCCTGATATAGCAGTAATTTTTTTTTATATATTATTGTAAAATTGCTTGTGGCGCAAAGCTTAGCTTCGCCTCTGTTTGAATTCTTTCTTATAAATGATATTCACTAATTACCTGATTTAGAAAGCTGAAACTGTGTTTAGGGCCGTGGTTTTTCGGAGCTCTTCTTTCAAACAGGTATGCGCTTGTATTTGTTAATGGAATTCTCTTCTTGGATGGAACTTTCATCCCGTCTGGACTAAACTACTCCTTTGGATTCCTGCATTTAATCTTCCTGGACATTCCGCTCGTTCTCATCATCTCTTCAATTCTGGACAGAAACAAATCATACAAGGGCTCCCTAGGAAGCAAAACTAGCCTAATACGTGTGCTAACTTGTAGATTTCTATATTTCATAGCACTGGCAATGCTTATGTGGCAATGTCATAAGTGCTTGGACTTATTCTCAAATTACGGAATATTTGCCGTTTTGTCGAATGTCATCGAGTTCTACTGTATAGTGATGTACATATACCAATTTTATTACGTTTTTAATGTTTCACACTTTTTAGCGAACTGAGTCTATAAATTATTGCATCATTTAAAATTGTAACTTTTAAATTATGAGATGTTTTGATACTAAACTTTTGATTTCAAACGTTCAGAAACCTGATTTGATTCAGGTGAATGATGTTTTTAAATCGAGGTCAATACTTAAATTGGCATATTGGTTAAAAATGGAGTAAAATCTAATTTAAGCTATCATATAGGGCCTTAAGCTATCATATAGCACACGTGGAAATTAGCGCATGTAATCCCAATATATAAAAAAGGTAGCAAGGCAGATGTCAAAAATTATCGGCCGGTATCACTGTTACCGATTTGTTCAAAAATATTTGAGCGTTGTATCTTTATTGATTTGTATAATCACTACAGCGGCTGGTTTCATGACGCACAGTTTGGTTTTCGGAAAAATAGGTCACCTACCATACAATTGATAATTTATCTGGACACCGTTTACAAATTTGTCAACAACGGTCAACCTGTAAACGTTATTTACACTGATTTTGAAAAGGCCTTCGATCGTGTAGACCATGGAATCCTACTACGCAAACTGTATTCAACAGGTATTAGAGGAAAGTTATTGTCTTTGCTACAGTCATATCTTTCTAACCGCACTCAAGTTGTCAAGGTTGGGAATTCGCTTTCAAAGGGGATTTTGATATCCAGTGGAGTACCACAAGGAGCACTTTTATCAGCACTCCTTTTTCTCGTTTTCATTAACGACCTTCCGAGCTCGTGTTCCTTTTCATATTCCTTGCTTTGTGCAGATGACGCAAAGTTTATAAGTTTCGACCGCTCCCCTGAAGCATTCCAAAGTGATCTGAACTCTGTCTTCGACTGGAGTATACAGAAGAAAATCCCTTTTAATTTACAGAAATGCTCTCATTTATTGTTCATTGGCTCCTATAGTGGTATTTATTTTGATGATAATGTTATTCCTCCTGCTCTTGTACATAAAGATTTGGGGTTAGTCATAACAAGTAACCTCGACTGGACACTCCACATTACTACTATAATTAATAGTGCCATGCGAGTTTTCCAAATGGTGAAACGTAGCTCACCTTTCTTGCCGGTATTCAGTAAGCTGAACATCTACAAGAGTATGATTCTTCCCAAGCTGCTTTATAGCTCGAGTGCATTCGGTCGTAACGTTACAGGAATGAAGCGAATTGAAGGCTTTCAAAGAAAGGTATGCCGATGGATAACACCAGGCATGAATTACAAAGACGCTTTGAAATTTCTTAATATCTTACCTTTGCCTTTCTTTATTCAGCTTAATGATTTACTGCTTTACAACAAAATTTTAACTGGTCGTTATGATTATGATTTTTCTGATGTAATATCACCATTGTCTACCAGAAGCTGTCGGTCCGCTTCGTTCCAGGTGACTCGGCCAAGGAGAAGACAATGTGAACTCAACTTCTGGTTCAGAACTGCACGCTTAATTTCTCTAGCACCGCCTATCATTGACGTCTTCAACAGTGACGGGTTTAAGAGTCGCTGTCTCAAATGGATGTGGCGCTACTTTGACCAATATTTCAATCCTGACAACTCATGTACCTGGAAACTCTACTGTGATTGTACCCGGAACAACTGTAGACTCATTTCCAATCGACTTACTTAGGGGAAAACCCCTTGCAACTCTGTTGCTAAATCTATAATAATAATAATAATAATAATATATATGCTGGTTGTTTTCGAAGCTTCGACCCAAGTCAGTTTCTGATTTAGTTTACATCAGCAACTCTTGATAATTGTCAATGAATGAAGTGAAGACTTTCATTTTGGTCTTCTATTTTTTTTGTTTTAAATGGTTTAAAGTGGTCATTCATTTGCGAGAGCGAGCGTACTTGTATTCGGGAACTATACTTTTTTCCTTAAATAACTTTGTTCACAGAATGGTCAAAATTAGAAATTGTATGTTTATGTTCAGTTGATAATAAATTCAAATTTCTTTGCGTCTCCGGCACATTTGGTCTGAAGGTACCGGGATCGCGAAAGTCCTGGGATTGGATCTGGCACATGTTTTTGCTGTTGGAAATTGTAGTTAGAGGGGGAATGGAACATTTTTATTAGTTTTTCTGTTTTTTTTTGCTGAAAAGGTTTCTGCTCAGGTACTTTCGGGTTGTTTTACCTTTTGGTAAGGTGTCTTCTGATGCTAGTTTGACATCCTTTGGTTTTGGCATGTTTTTTAAACTAGATTTAATCATTTTGATTAAGCTAGTTTTTTCGGCAGTTCCGAACTTTTTTAAAGAGCTGATGAATGTAGTTCAGACGCTAATATAGATCGCGATTATTTTTTTCGTTTTTTTTTATACAGGAAAAGTTAACTTTTGTTCAGGCTCAAATTTGTTTTTTCCCGGTTTGACTTTTGATTTCTTAGGTTCAGCTCATTTCCTTTGTTTAAAGGAAGACAAACTCCACCATCGAACAGCAAATGGTTCAGGTCACGAAAAACTTGATCGACTTCTACAGTGATGATTTGAACTATTCAGACAAAACCCATCAAACATTAAATTTAAAATGCGTTTTTCTCTGTTCGGGTTGACATTAGGTGAAAAATGAAGATGACAAAACTTGCTTTGAAATTCCAACAGAATTAATATGGTGCAATTTGTTTTGCGAACTACGAGTCCAAAATGTTACCCAAAAATTGATAATTTTGGCTTTTTTAAGGAATCAAAAATGAGTAGATCAAAGTGAGCCTCTCACGTAGCCGAACAAACTTTTGAAAAGGTGTATTTTTCAAAATTTTGCGCAAAGATAAAAATAGTTTTTTTAACTAATAAAATTGGTGTTTCATGTGGTAAAAAGACTTTTTTGTCTATCAAACAAAAAATAAATTAGTTAATACAATGTTTAGTAGGTTATACCTTGAAGCTTGTTGGGCTACGCGAGAGGCTCACTTTGATATACTTATTTAAGTAATCGAACGGGTAGTTTTGGCTTATTTTTTGATTGAATAAAAAAGCCAAAAATGCTTCATTTTTAGGGTAAAACTGTGGATCCGAATTTTGCTAAGCAAATTGCATCATATTAATTCTGCTGAAATTCAAAGCAAGTTTTGTCTTTATTGTTTGTCGCCTTATGTAAGCCCATTTTGAGAAATCAATTTCAAGTTTGATGCATTTTGTCCTGATAATTTCAATCGACACTAGTTTCGAAAGTGAAATTTGATTTTCAGATATTCCAGCGAAATAAAAATTTTTCTCATTGATCCCTTTTTCTCCAATTGGGTTAGTTTTGTCGAAAAAGTGCAAATCATAAAAAGTTCTAGAACTAAAATTTGAGATTTTTTCAAAAAAAACAAGTCCGTTTTTTTTTCTGTATACTTGTGTTCATTGACTCTTTAACTGTCTGTTTTCCTGATTAGATTGCAAGTGGTGCGAAGCGTGTCTGTGTTTAATTTGTTTCTAAATTGAACAATAATGTTATCTTCAGTTCCAATTGATGATAAAACAAAAGAAGTTGTTGATAACAGTGGGAACCACTCTCTTCGAGAAACTCATCTCAACATTATGTACACATCAGAAAGAACTCCTTAATATTCTAAGCAGTAGAGGCTTCTCTACTGTAACTGTACAATACGGAAAAGGGAAGCCACCTGAGTTTGATGAGGAGGTCCTACAGCATCACCAAAGTTAGTTCCTATTAAAGCTCTTCTTAACTCCTGAATTAACGGGGTTTGGTGAGAGTCCCATCACTTGGATAGAATAGATATCTTTAGATATCTTCATCTTTAACGCTCGAACAATTGCTGCTGCATGTGAGTATTTTTTTCTCCGTCCACGAGAGAAAGGACCATTCTTTAGGTAGAACCGCTGTCGGACCCTTTATTAAGGCTATTCATTGGTTGTTATGGCTTTGAAATTTCTTCGCAACCCTGAAGCAGAAAGCACGGTTCATGGTGTCTCGATCTCGAGCCGCCGACCTTTGAATGTCAGGCTGAGCCTATAACCACTTCAACACCATTCCACAACTAAGATATTCATTTAAAATCTTTATTTTTCGTTTGTTTCAAATCTGTACTTGAACCTCAATTTGATGTTTAGTTGAAGTTAATTGCTATGATTACAAGGACTCACTGCTGGAAGACATCGCATCTTCCGATCTGATCATATCCCACGCTGGCGCAGGCACTTGTCTGGAAGTACTCAACCTGCAGAAACCTCTAATCGTAGTTGTAAATGACTCACTCATGCACAATCACCAGACCGAATTAGCCAATCAGCTGGCGAGTGACGGACACTGTCTTAGTTGCACTACAGATACTCTGCTTTCCGCCATTAGTTCGCTGGATCAATTGAAGTTGATACCCTTTTTGCCAGGAAAACCAGAATTATTTGTCCAATGTTTGGACGAGTATTTCGGCATTGCTCATCCGAAATGAGTTTCAAAATGGCGCCGAAGTTATTTAATTCAAAACCATCTAAACAGTTATTTAATTCAAAATTTGAGGTCAAAAAGTTGTTTAATTCAAAATAGTCGAAATGGGTCTTACAATGGTGTAGAATTTGTTTAATCTAACGCCGTTTTTACAGATTAATAAAGGCATTGGATTACTTGTAATTATACAATTGTTCTAGGCGACAATTTTTCTGATTTCTTTCTGAACATTTTTTTGTTTTTGGCCTTGCTGGAAGTATCAGATCATCCGTAGTAAATTTCTTTTTTAAGCTAAGTATCAAATTTACTAAAGAGCAATTTACATGAGATATTGGTCTCTATGCGAATAGCTCATGATGTTCCGACAGTTTTCTCTGCAAAGAAAAAATCAAAAATATTTAAATTCAAAACAATGAGAAAACTGCAGTTTATCGTACAACATATTTATCCTTGCGATAAGCAACGTAATCGCAACCGTGTACCAGATTGTTTTTCCTGTTAATAATTTTGTTCATTGTTTCTAATGTTTGAAGGTCTCCATTTTCACCCTAGTTGCACTTTTAGCCGCTCTAGTTCTTGGTATCGAGTTAGTGTGTCTTGAGTTACAGAAAAAAAAGTTTTTTTGTAGGCTTAATTGATTTCGTCCCTATTTTTGTCGTTTATTTTCCGGGTGTTTTTAGTATTATTATATTCAATTCAATTGTTTTATTCAATTCAATCTCAAAAAAATAACTCTATTTCCCGGATTTTTTTGTTTTTAAACTCACTAAACCTTTCTGAAAACAAATACGATTTTAGAGCGATTTATTGTTTGATTTTTTATTTTTTTTTTAGTTCGAGGTTTCTGATTTTTGTTCTGAAATTGTGTGCAGGTAGCTCAAAGCAACTTAGCGTCAACATTTCAAATCGGTTTAAGGTGATGGTCCAGCGTATTGTTTTACTGTAAAATTTGTTTAAAATTCTTTAAATTAATTCCAAATAGCTGGGTTTTGCAATTTAAACTCGACTAGTTTATTTACGAATGTTTTTGGAGGGTGCTGTACGAGATTGAAGATTGTGGTTCATTCTGGCTGAAAAGTTTTGAAAACTAAATTTTTATGTTTTTTAGTCAACGCGCGTCAAAGTGTAATTAATCTTTTTTGTTGTCGTTCAGCTCTCTTGCCCTTGCGTACCATTTTCATATTTGACAAGATTGCTGTAATTAGGTTAGTTTCACAGGCGTTTGGAGTTTCAATGATTTTCTGCAAACTCTTTTTGTGGTAGTTGTTTGAAAATTGTGTTTCAAGTTTTTTCAATCTTTCATTTTTGGATCTTTATTTATAGCAAGCAATCGAAAGTGCCTTTTGATAACCCCGAATGTCCTTGAGGGACATTTAGTTTGTTTGGTTTCAAGATTTTCAGCTATTCTCTTGGTAATTTTACTTATGTGTCCAGTTTTTCTCAAATGGGGTTAAATTTATCAAAAAGGGTCAATGATAAATTTTTCTAGAAGTTCAATAAGATTTAATTTCAAAGGCTATACATTTTTTTCTTATAAATTTCGAAGTTCAGGTTTTTGTAGAAACAAGTCAGCATTTTCTTTCCCCAATTGGTTTATGAGAATTTATTTCGTTTTTTGCGTTCGGTTAATCTCACTGGAACTATGTTATAGATATTCGCCGTTCCAATTTCGTTAATCTTAGCTTTTTCCGCCTTATCGAAAATTCTATAAGTCTTTGTTGTGTAATGATTAATTCGGCTGGTGAAACTTGAGACATGAAAAGTAGATCTCATGCATGATAATATGATAGCACAGCAAAGATAACGTTTTTATTCACCGGTTAGTTTTTTTAGTTTAGTTATGTTATTTGAGACATGGGTAGATTATGTGAAAATGTTGAGCTTAAAGATATATGTGACAAAAACAATTATTTGAATAGCATAGTTCTTGTTTCTAGTTGTACCATATTTGGGGCACGCAATATAATGATTTAATTGCAACAGCGATTTTCCTTGAACGTTTGTGGAACTCAGCTGCTAAAGTAAGAATTTTGTCCCCTAAAACTTCAAATTACCTGGCTTTTTCGGTGAAAGGTCAAAATTTTTTTGTTGGAATAGATCACGGAATCTATCACATCTATCGTGGAGTGCAATACATATCTGAATATACAATAGAAAACCCCGGTTTTTGTAAAATTGGGTCCAGCTTTGTTGAGGGTTACTGCTGCCTTTCAGAGTAGATGTAGTCAAAATTATACAGAAATGGAGAAAGAAATTTTCTGGAGTAAAGACATAGACCCTTTATGTGATCACAAATCTAAACCGGCACATGTGGTGACATTCAACAACATCTCCACTGACAGTCAAATTAGGTCAAAACAGTCTTCACCCAACAATGCTCTCAGCTCTGCTTCCAACATCAAACCAAAAACGGGCCCTGCTTTGAGAACTTCGTCCCCTATAAATAGTAATCCTGCCAACTCACGAGATCAAATCAGGCCATTCATGGACACACCGTCCATTCAGAACTCAAATGCAGTCAGTCAGAAAAGTTTGAATGATAGGAACAATTCTAAGATGAGTAATTCTTCCAATTTGAAAAGCAGCGCTAATAAGAAACCTGTCAAAAATATGCCACCGAAAAACACGAATTGTCAAAACGAAATTTCAGCTGATAGCCAGGGTTCCTCATTTAAGTCGTTACGCAATGAAGATAAATTGAAGTTAGCTTCGCTGATTCAGGAGTTGGCTACCTTGACTGAAGAACATGACCTTTTGAAGAATTCTCTAGATAAACATACAGAGTGCCACAATTTAGAAAAGGTAGCTTTTCAAAAAGAGACGCGCAAATTGTACCAAGAGAGAGAAACTCTGATTCAACAACATCACGCGATGCAACAGAAGCTGATGTCTGCAGTGCACGAATTGGAGGTGTTGAAAGGCAAAGAGACTTCGAGGTCGTCAGTTTGTCTGCAAACATCTCCGAGATCCTCAGTTCAAGGGCATGTTCAACAGTCAAACGCACCCGCTCTCAACCTTAGTTTCAATACGCTATCAGACAATAGTCAACGAAGCAATAGTAACAGTAGAAAAAATAAATTAAACGAAAAAAAGAAATCTGAAAATAATGAGAGTCAAGATCGGTCGTCCGAGAAGGTCGAAATTTCAGTGCAAACTGAGTCGGCTACGGGAGCATCAAATTGTAGAAATTTTGTTGGTACAGGTGCGGTAAAGCAAGTTGATGAGAAATTAGCTCAAATTCAGAAGCAGGCAGCGGATTGTGACGTTGGTTTGCAACCAGTTGAAGTTCTCAGTCGAACAGAAGATTGTTTTTCATTAGCTGATTCTAATTTGAGAAATCCTTCGGAGCTAACTCATTTGTCTCAAATCGAAAAAGAAACGCTAGCTCTGAAGAAGAAAATAATCGAGCAAGAGAAACTTCTGGAGCTGAAGAGGAAACAGATTGAGCTGCAGCATGATATTCATAACCAAGAAGTGTCCGCTTTTAAAGCCAATAAAAGTGCGAGCGAAGATAATGTGCGAAACTGGATTGAATCGTTACCAGTCTCTCCTTTTGATAACAACCAGTTCTCCTGTGAAAATCGCCAAGACAAACGAAGTCATCAAATGTCATCAGAAAATATGCCAAAAGTACATTTTTCAGAAGATAAAGTAGAAAATAAACAGAAACACAGCAGTCGATCAAGATCAAACAGTAGATCGAGAAATTATTCGGCTGAGAGAAAATCCGCTTTGAGACCCAAAGAGGAAAAAAGACTCTCCGAAAATGATGATGTAAGCTCAACTGATTCTACGGAAGATCGTTTTCCTAGTAACGACAGAAGTGGACGGATGAAACTAAACGAGCCTAGAACTTATCCAGAAAAGGCATCAAAACTGACAGCTGATTTAAATGATAAAAAGGAAGCTGGTCGAGGTAAGAAGTTTGAATCAGTGAAACCAAAAGTGGACTCGCACTACAAGCCGCTGAGAGAAGAGTTGGAGCTGCAGCCGGGAGAAACTACTGATGATTTGCTCTTAGAGGCCGCTGGTAAACTGATGCACTGTCGCAAACTGATTGACAGGAGTGAGACCAAAATTGACAAATATCAGTACACACAGTATATGGAAGCCATGGAGAGGAAAAAGCTCGAGGAAAAGATTCCAGTTGACAACCAGTATGAAAGAAAAATCAGACGCAACGTGGCTTGCCATAGGTCTAAAAGACTGATCGAGACTGTACAACCAGAGAAGAAAGATCACGCCACGGAAGTTTTGAATCCATTTTTTAAATTAGTTGACTACATGGATGATAAAGTGGATTCGCCCACAAAGTACAATACAGCCGCGTTGGAAAACATGGCAACTTTTGCGAGAGAGTTTAGTCCGGAAAGTGAGCTGAAGTTGAGGACTAAGAGGGATGGAAGTCGTAATATGCCCTCCAAATCAGCATACAGTTCAAGACTCAGTCGAACTGTGACGAGAAACAGAAGTTCAAGTCTGGGGCGGGTGTCATCCAACAGCAGAAGTGTGTCAAGGTCAAGAGACTTACCAGCTCGTGTCAAAAGAGGTCATGACAAATCAAGAGGAAAGCAAAACGTGTCACTCGTGACAGTCGTTGAAAAACAAAATAAGCAGCTCAAAAAGCGCTCTCATAAGTTTAACACCTCAGCTTTGACGTCTGAATTAGACAGCGATGAGACCGAATTGTTCGACCAAGTGTTCTTTGTTAAGTAGTGTTATGTTCGTGGTATGTTTAGATCTCAAAATTAGTTGCCTGTGTGTTGATTATTGTTTGCAATATGCATAATAGCGATGATGATGGTGTCAGACAGTTATGAAGTTCTTCTAGGGGCAGATTTAGGGGGGGGGGGCGGAATTACCCTTTAACTTTTCTTAAGACAGCGACGCGAATAATAAATAATTTTGAGAGGGAAGCGCGAGCCGAAAAAACGCGATGTTTTGGTGAAAAAATCCATAAAGTGCCCAAAAATGTCTTTTTTGGCTTGTTTTTTAAAATTTTGCATGCGGCGCTGAAATTTTTACCAAAACAGGGTCTTTTTAATGCTTTGGGAGAGCTCGGAAAATCAATTTGGTCGACCTAAAAAAAAGGTCGACAAAATTTTTTGAAAATCCGCCCCCTCCTAGAAAATCCTAGATCCGCCCCCTGAGTTCTTCATTCCGGTTTTTTGGTCCATTTCCGTTGCCGAGTCGAGGGTTTTAAATTCAAATATTTTGCATTGTTGTAAATTTTTTGGCCTGTTTTTCAAGTTTTTGCGTGCGGCGCAAAAAATTTGGCCAAAACAGGGTATTTTCAGTGCTTGGGAGAGCTCGGAAAATTAATTTGGTCGACCCCTGAAAAAAGATCGACAAAATTTTCGAAAATTTTATTAAAAACTCGCACACCAATACCCCCCTCGCCCCTCGATAAAGTCCTAGATCAGTCTCCGGAAATTATACAAGAAATCAGTGAATTGTATTAAATTCAGGCTTGACTTTGAACTTGATTACATTGCAGTCTGAAAACTTAATATTTTTGATCAAAGACGCAAGTTATCGTGGCATCGCTGCTGGATTTTGTTTTTGTAAATATTTGAATACTTGTACATAGTGTGAATTCAAGCTACCTGTTAAATCATATCTGATCAATTGAATAAAAAAGAAAGGACTTTTAGTAAAACTACTCCTTACGGAGACATCGAATAAAGGAACTCAAGATTCGTTCTGCTCTATCCTCATGTAAAACAAAGTTGAATTTTTCAGAGGATTGATGCTGGCTCTGAATGATTAATTGAAGCTGTTTTATTCTTCGTTTTGTGGGTGTGTAGTTTTAAGAAACCTTGAGGCAAAGTCGATCGTGAGACATTATAGTAAGGTTAAATAGAATGGTGCGGGAGTTGGATGCAGATGGTTCGTTTGAGAGGGTGGTTAGAGAGGGTGCTCCGGGGGACAAACTGGCAGTTATTGACTTCACAGCTGCCTGGTGTGGACCGTGCAAAATGATAGCACCCACATTTGCTGGTTTCGAGAAGAAATACACTAACGCTTTCTTCCTCAAAGTTGACGTCGACAAGTGCAAGGCTAGTGTGATGGTGGTATATGGACGAGACACCAGCTACCATATTTAAACTGACCTAAATTACTGAACAGTTATATAATAGTTATGTGAAAATTCAGTAACAGAAAATTTTGTAAAATCGGATTTCTGTAACTATTCCTACCCCCCGGTACCTAGTAACAAGTTGCACCCCTATAAAGATATAGTTGAATTGTTATACATATGTAAATTTTGTACCTAGTAGCGAATATCAGTAACGGAAAATATTTGTACCTGGTAACGTGAAACAGTTAAATAGATCCATAAAATCATGCACTTTTTAAAAAAAATAATAACGTAGCTTCCGGCTGGTTTATATATTCAGCATATTTTTAGTTCACTTATACCTCGGCTGGTTCATTCACGCAAAGTATTTGTGCATCCAACATGTCGAACTAGCATCAATTGAAGACGTTTTTCTTCTAAAGTATGTTGTGTATAAGGGGACTTGTTGTTTAGGTGACAGCCACGAAATACGGCATAACAGCCATGCCCACATTTGTGATGATGAAAAACATGGTCGAGGTGGACAGGGTGAGTGGAGCAGACCCAAATGCCCTGGAGGCCAAGATCAAACAGCACTACTCGGCCGCCGCGGACGTCAGTGGAGACCCGATTATGAAGGATGCACCGCCGGGCATGCAGTGTCTGAACAGTCTGATCAACAAGGCTGAATTTGAATGTCTGAACGAGGACTCTGGCAATCCTGGTATAAACTGTCTCCTTACAGACTCAGCCGCTGTCACAAAGAGCGACTGCGATGAGCAAGTAAGTGCTTACGTGATAGGAGATTAAATATCAAGTAAATAACTAATATGTTGAGAATACCTCGAAAGTGTCCCAGCGATACAAATAATTGCTATTTTATAAATGAATATTTAGGCAGGCGATTATCAAGCGTTATCAAGTCGGAATGTAGACTTTTTTGTGTTAATAACTAGTTTAACAAAATAAGTTGAATCACTATGCAGCTGAGATGCTCAATTTCATGAAAATTCAAATTTAACTGCTGGGTTGGTACTACTTACTACAGATGCAATTGTTTATTTCTCCCGATAAAAAGCGTTGTTGGATGCCCCCGTCTACTACGGTTGCAATCATGGCGTTGTTTTTATAAAAGCAACTTTTATGTTCATCATTCTGTTTGAAGCGACCGGAGGTGCGGATTAAGATAGCTTGTTTTATACGCTTGCGACTAGCAAGCGCTATCAAATCGGAATGTAGACTTTTTCGGGTCAACAACTACTTTAACAAAATCAGTTGAATCACTTTTGATGTTGCTATCATTTATTATGCTGATATGCTCTCGTGCTAAATTTCATGAAAGTTCAAATTTAACTACTGACTACTCGGTGAGTACTTGTTTCTACAGGGTAGTTTCAGGGGGTTGCTAGTTTGAGTTTGAAATTTCTTGCTTGACGTTTCTTGCCTTGATTTGCTTTTTGATAAAATTAGGTATTATGAAAATGTATGGCATTGGGTTTTTTAGACCTTTTGAAAAATTTTATCACTTGTTGCAAAAAAAAGTTTTTTTTTCTCGAAAACTTTTCTACCGGTTTTCAAAAAAGGGTATCAGTAGGGAGATCGCCTACATTCTTGTGTGCCCACATATTCCTCTGGTCTCTTTTCGATTAAGCCCTTTGTCTACAGCCTTCAAAAAGCCTGTGACGGATATTTGACCGACATGTTTGATGTTTTTTCGCTTTCTCAAAAACAAATCTAGTAAATGTGAGATTTTGGTTTTAAAGAATAGAACGGATTTGAAAAGCGCCTCTCCATAACAGTCAATGACCAATTTTTTTAACACATAAAATTATGGCCCTCGGAATTTTGAAGTTTTTGATTTTTTTGACAGTTTTTTGAATTCTTTTTTCATTTTCTCGAAAACCAACCTTTCAAACCTGAGCCTGAGGTTATAATTCAATGGAGATAACGTGGAATGAGAAGCTCCCCTTTATTACCCGCCACTCATAATTTAACCCAAAGTTATCGTCCTCGGAAAACGTCAATTTTTTTGATTTTTGAGTGTTTTTGTTTCTAATTGTTTACTAAAAAATACCCTTCCATATCTTAGATTTTGCGATTAATCCAAAGAACTGGTTATGGGAAGTTTTTTTTGCATATGCGACTACGCCCATTTTTTGACATAAAAAGTAATGGTTCTCGGAAAAGACAAATTTTTGTTTTTGTTACCGTTTTTGGAAACTTTTTGACTCTTCTCGAGAACTACCCTGCCAAACCTGGGTTTTTGGTTTCAATCGAAATTACATGTTAAGTTAATTTTTGTATCAGTGGCTACCACCATTTTAAGTTCAATCTATGGATAAAAAGGAGGAAGTAAAATGTGAACGTGAGTGTAACGTTATGACAGTTATGTTTTTCAGTTCATTAGTAAAATAGCCTGTTAGCTCGCGGCTTTTTAGTACCGTTCAAATCAGCATCAATAGGTGAATAAATCTTACTACAGTTTTTTTTGAATTTACGAATGGGTGGGAAGCTGAAAAAAAAGCCATTTTGACCATTGCTATTTTAAATTAACCAAACAAGAATTACGAAGATTTTAAATAAAAACTGAAAAATTAAGATTGTTTCTTCTTTTTATTCGTTTTTAAGCGAGAGAACTTTTTCTGTATGTTTTATACGTTTAAAATGCAGTTGTTTTTTGCCTAACTCCTTACAGAGTGCATCAGGTGGAAATTGGTATGCAAAGCGTAAAGTTCAATAAATAGTATCACACTGATCAACAACGATAATTTTTTGAGGTAGTCAAAGTTTGGAGTAAAAACTTCAAAACTACTCTAACCGACACTATTCTTAGTTCCGCTAATCTAAGTTCCGCTACTCCTCAATGTCTAAAAGTCTAGTTTTAACAGTATCGAATTGTTCGGTTAATATAAATTTTAGTCAATTTCTTTAAATTTATATCTTTATTACAATTTGACGTCGATTATTACACTTGCGATCAGCATAGTGTGTTAGTATGAACCTTCCGTCTAACCTAAATCTCAAATAAAAGTGCTCATTACAATTGTTCACTTATTTGAAAATTTCACTGTATCATTGGAAATTGCATAGCATCTGTTCTGTTTTATTTGCTGTGGCTAGTGTTTGGTGTCTATTAAGCTTCCGTGGCTGAGTGTCTGGTGTGTGAGAATCTTAATCTATTGGTCGCAGGTTCGAATCTCAGGTTCGAGGTAGCAGAATTTTTAATGATTCGAGGCTTATTTCTAATTTTATTTTTGCACTTTGTAAAGCTGCTTCTTGTCGTGTTCGCGCAAGTGTTTGCGAAGCGAACCTTCGCCTCTGTGTGATAATTTATCGCAGTAACGACATTGCAGATGATGGAAACGAACGCAGGCTTGGACTTGCGTGATAAGTTTTTGAAGACGTTAGGAATAGGTGAATTGTAATGTTTTTATTGAATTCCTCCTTAGTTGCACGAAGTTCAAAAAACCAGTTTATTAACATTAACATGGCTGCAACCTATCATTGAAGAAATTGGCTCTTTTACCCTTCAGCCTCCCAAAAAATATATAGTTTCGACTAGGTCAAATTGGATCGTAATATGTTGTCTGCTTGTGAAAAAATAGAGGCATTTCATCTATACACTTGTATAAACTTGCAAAGCCACTGTTTTCTTTTTAAAGCCATTAGAATACGGAGGAGGTGATTAAAAGAGCAGGAAGGAAAAGCTTTTCTATATTGCAGTTTGAGATTTTTTTTACTAATTGCGAGGGAATTAGTTGCATTTCTGCTTAGCTGTTTTTCGCAATCGTTTCCATGATCCACTCTCTGTACACTGGAACGCGCATGAAGATAGTCGAGTTATTGTTGCAACCGGTGTTACCATAGCTCACTGTGCCATACACACAAATAGCCTTGTTGTTTTTCTTGTTAACTGGGAACAGGGGGGATCCGCTGTCCCCATTGCAGCATTGAGCGCCATTCTGACCTTGTGAGAAAAGAAAAGGATCGGGTCAAATCCATATTAAAAATACAGTAATATTAAATGGCTTTCAAATGCGAAAAGTGGGGAGTTTTTTTGTGTATATAACTGAATTAGAATCAACTAATTTGAATAGTTATTTCTTAGTTTGCTTGTCTCTGTCTGCTGCTTGTATATTTTCCTCGTTAACTTACCTTGCATGCATATCTCAATGTCTCTGATTGGTTTGTTGTAGATTGTCATCGGGGGACAAGTTGGCTTTTCAGTGAGTTTCAGTGTCTCCAGGTACTTGCTGATGGAGTAGGGGTGTGGCACTGTTGTCCCTCGAGCCACCACTTGAAGGCTGACATTGCGATTATCTGTCGTGCAGTTTACGTCGCTATTTTTTCAATTTTTTAAAATCTCAAATAATAAGTCTAAGAAAACTTGTGAAATCAATGAATATGTCCTCTTTTCACTGTGGTAAAACTGAAACAGATAAACGTTTTTTTTTGTTAAAGTACATGATGAAATTTTGCTTAGAGATTAAAAAAAATTACCGCCAGAACCTTCCTTTTTTACGAGTCAGGAACGTAATTAATTCTCTTATATAGACGTTGGTGAATTTTTCTGTTTATTTTTTTTGCAGGAAAAAGTCTAGGAATAAGTGACATAAACGTAAAAACTTGATCGACTTCGAATTTCACACGAGGATTTTGATTTTCAGATTTCCCAGAGGATTAAAAGTTTAAGCATTGAGCTAGTTTTCTTAAATAGGGCAATATTTATCATAAAGTGTTAATCATAAATTGTTCCCGAAGTTCGAAAAATTTTAAGGCCATATTCGAATGTTTTTTTTTCTATTATTTTTTTCCTATTTCAAGTACTTTTTATTTCTTTCCGTTCATTGCTTTTTTCCAACTGTCTGTCTGTTATCTATGTTTGTTTACGATTATGTTTTACTCGGTATATTATTCTAGGTAAAATGCCTGTGTAGTTTTTGTCGCATGGAGGCAGGAATTGGGGCGTGTAGCTTCCCATCTTCGTCACTTCCTTGCTCAGTTTAAGCAGTGCAACGTCCGCTATCATTGTCACAATTTCCTTTTTTGACTTGTCGTTTTCTGAATTGTTGTATTCGGTTTGGGTGTAATCCGGATGTGCAAATATCTCGATGCTTATGTTCTCTTTGGGGGAGGGTTTATCTAGTTCGAAGCTGCCAATTTCAACATGGTAGGTTCTGTTCTTGACAACGCAGTGAGCGGCTGTTAAGACCCATCTACTATTTAGCAAAGTGGCCCCACACACTTTGTTTTTGTTCACTATATGCAGCTGGGCGAAGAAATACCTGTTGTGAGCACATTGCTTAAGATCGGTGGTCAAACGTTTAAGTTTTGTTTCTGGACAGCTGGCTATTGTCACGGTAATCAAGATTACTGACACGATTAGACTGGTCATGTGGTGATTACTAGACATATTATGACAATCGATATTTGACCACAGTCACTTGATAGATTTACGTCGTTGTTATTTGTGAATAATCTGATGCAAGGCAAGTTGATTCTCACCGCTTTTTATAATTTTCATGAACTAATTCTATTTCGGCGGCAAAACAATGCAACAATTTTTTTTAAATTGGCTTGTTGGCGATATTTTTCTTACAATCGATATAATACTGACAATTAAATTCCCCGCAAAATTTTAGTTCAAATATTGCTTGGTGATTAGAGTGTTAGCCAGTCGGAGTGTTTTGAATGATCTTAACAGCAAAAACGTTGAAAAAGTTCAATATTGGGAAGAATAAATGATCCAGTTGAACAACATGGCTCTGATGGGAATATATTTGAACTAGAAAAAAATGAAGAGACCTTATATAAGAATGAAAATAAGAATGTAAATTTCTAAGTAGTATTGAGGAAAATAATCGGACGGTCTGGGAAAAAAATAAGTGAAAGCGTTGAATTAAATGCACAAAAAACTCGCAAGAGAGCTTGAAATAGCTTATCATGAAACTAAGTTTGTAATGAGTTTTTTGTCATCAGATGGTTTGCACCCGAGACCTAAAAAAATACATGAATTGAGCCAATATCTGTATTCTGCTCTTTAGATCCTCTGGTAATGTACTCCTTAGAGGGTCCACTTGGTAAGGAGCAAAAGAACTCTGATGTTTTTAACTTGCTCGAGCTTTTTATTTATAATAATATACGATGAAGTGCTATGTAATAAAACATAGAAATTAATAATAGGAAACCACGCAAACCTACAAAATACAAGAAACAACCTACGAAACTCCTCAAAAACGAAACTCGAAGATGTGTCATTCAACCAAACCGAAGATGTTTCGTTCCTATCGCCTAATTCTGGTGAAAATTTTCACGCGGAATAGTTATGCATTGGTAAATATTTGTTTTTCAAAGCTAACATTGGGGGAGAAGGGATGAAAGAAACGCGCAAGAAAGCTTAGATTTCAGTGCAATTTTTTTCTCTTATTTTAAGAGACTAACGTAACATTAGTTTTGGCCTTTTTACTTCCAATTTATCATGAATCATCATCATCATCATAGTGATTATGATTGTGATGATGATTAATTGGAACTAAAAAGTCCAAAACTAATGTTACGATTAGTCTCTTATAGTAAGAGAAAAAAATTGCATTGAAATCTAGGCTTTCCTGTGCGTTTCTCTCATCCCCTTTCCCCCAATGTTGGCTTTGAAAAACAAATGTTTGCCAATGCATAACTATTCCGCGTGCAATTTTTTCACCAGAATCAGGCGATAGGAACGAAAACTTTATTTTGCATTTAAACGTAAAATTTGCCAAGAGAAAATTCTCTTTACTGTCCCTTCTCCACCTACAGCTTTTTTTAGTCTTAGCTCTGTTTGTCTGGCCGTATTGTTAATTATTCAATAACCAGGGTTGTTTGATTTAAATCTAGTGATTTAAATCATTGATTTAAATCCGATTTAAATTTCGATTCAAATCCATGGTGGGAAATTTTTCTCAGTTGGTGGCGTTTTTCCCGCCAATTATACGTCAAATTTTACCCGCCAGTTTTGTAAAACTGGTCTTTTGTAGGAGGGTTTTAATCCAAAACTGAAAGTTGATCAACTTTTTCCACAATACCCGTTATTTTAAGATTTTTTCTAACACTTCTTTTGGTTTTTCTAAGACACTCGGCAGTTTTTGAAAAAATTGGATTTAAATTTAAAAAAATTGACAAAAATAAAAAAATCTGATTCAATTGATTTTTAAATTTAAATCGGATTATTATGCAACCCTGTCCATAATAAACAATATTGTCTCCGGTGGATGTTCATCAAACCATCATATTTTGAAGCCGAAACTACCGCTGAATTACTGATTAATAAGTTCTTTCAAGTTTAACTTCTTTCTAATTCAGATTTTTTGGTACGTCAAAATGTTATTTCTAGTTGCACCGTATTCGATCACAGATTTCAGTTTCCAGGGCTTAAACAATCATAGAGGTTCTCTCAACTTCGTTTTAATTTGAAATCGTATCAAAGAAAAAACCAAAAAAATATTTAAACGTAAAATTTGCCAAGAGAAAATTCTCTTTACTGTCCCTTCTCCACCTACAGCTTTTTTTAGTCTTAGCTCTGTTTGTCTGGCCTTATTGTTAATTATTCAATAACCAGGGTTGTTTGATTTAAATCTAGTGATTTAAATCATTGATTTAAGTCCGATTTAAATTTCGATTCAAATCCATGGTGGGAAATTTTTCTCAGTTGGTGGCGTTTTTCCCGCCAATTATACGTCAAATTTTACCCGCCAGTTTTGTAAAACTGGTCTTTTGTAGGAGGGTTTTAATCCAAAACTGAAAGTTGATCAACTTTTTCCACAATACCCGTTATTTTAAGATTTTTTCTAACACTTCTTTTGGTTTTTCTAAGACACTAGGCAGTTTTTGAAAAAATTGGATTTAAATTTAAAAAAATTGAACAAAATAAAAAAATCTGATTCAATTGATTTTTAAATTTAAATAGGATTATTATGCAACCCTGTCCATAATAAACAATATTGTCTCCGGTGGATGTTCATCAAACCATCATATTTTGAAGCCGAAACTACCGCTGAATTACTGATTAATAAGTTCTTTCAAGTTTAACTTCTTTCTAATTCAGATTTTTTGGTACGTCAAAATGTTATTTCTAGTTGCACCGTATTCGATCACAGATTTCAGTTTCCAGGGCTTAAACAATCATAGAGGTTCTCTCAACTTCGTTTTTATTTGAAATCGTATCAAAGAAAAAACAAAAAAATATTTTTTGAATGAAATCGAAGAAAGTGAATGCTCCATGAAATTATAATTTCAATAAAAATACATGTCATTTTGGATTAGAAATGAAAGCATTTTTAAGTTTTCAATTGAGTTAGGTTTTAGGGACGTGGGATGTAAGATGATATATTTTCGTGTTATTGAGTTTTCGATGCTGAATCCTTGTAGGTGTTAGACTTGAAGTGTACATTTTAAATGTCGCAGTTTAAAATTGATAATGATAGCGTTCTACTTCAGCAATTTTGTGAAGCGTTTTTCGGATCAAAAACAATTTTTTCTGCAAGTGTTGTTTTTAAATAGTGAACTACCGCTAAAGAGGATATACTGGGTATATAAATTTGTCCCTACATTTTTTTACTGTATGTTATAAACCAAAGTCGTGTTGTCTGGTACGGTCATGCCTGGCGTCACGATCCACAAAAGCTGCAATGCTGACTCAAGATCATTTCGCAATGCTTTGCTTTGCCGAGTTTTGATTAAATGCTCAGTTTCGACGAAATTGAATAAGCATGGCGCAAGAGTCCGTGGCTATGTGAGTAAGACGCGCTGCCTTTAGTACAAAGGTCGTGGGTTTGACTCCTGCTTCGGTCACGGCGGTTGGAGGGGTCCTAGCGTCATCCGCCTGCCCTCAAGCTAGGACTGGGTGCGGCAAAATGGATGACATCTCTCTCCCCCAAGGAAAGAATACCCAAGATTGAATAGTGGGAGCTGGGCTAGGGGCTTATAAAAAAAGCATGGCTCAGAAATCATTTCAGATATAGCGATTATTGATTTTGGAAAATCAGAGAAAGGGCAGAGAAAGGCAGAAGGCTTCGATCTGAAACAAGTTATGTAATTTTTTCGACTAGCTGATTGACGTAATTCAGTTAACCTTTACACAAAGTGTAGAGTGCATCTTTGATTTATATTCTGTAATCCTTATTTAATTAATCTTTTTGAAAGACATGGTATCTTTGGTCTCGTTTTGACGTTTAGGAGCTTTTGTTATATGGGTCTATGATGTGTTATCTTTTGGCCTGGGATCTTCTTTTATTACTTAGAATAGCTGTTTTGTTTCAGCTTCTGCTGAGGATCGGATTTCAGCAACCCGTGAAGTTGCACTCCATCAGAATTGATCCTTCCCAATCAGGAGGTGAGGTCCCGACCATTATAATGCTGTGTATTATTAGCTTGGTAATTATTATTCGAACTTGATTGTATTTCTGTGGCAAGTCTCATCATCGTGATTTCTTTTGACATTTTGGTTGAAATGAAGAGGAGGATGTTGATTCACGATTATCATGGATCTTTACACGTCTTTGTAAATCTCGATTAAATGGATGTTGTATTCTATTATATATTTAAATGCGGGTATCACTATCTCGCCATGTTTAAGCTTTTTCAACGTATTATTTTTGCATGTTTAACGAAAGAATTTTTAAACTTTTTAAGCCATATCGTTTATTGCAGTGGTTTAAAATAAGCAGCCCAATAGTGGGATGCTGTCAGGGTGTCCACGGGTTGCGAGTTTGGCCTCCAATTACGAATGTTCAAATCCTTTTAGTGAACGAGATAGTTCAGAAAACTCAAATTACAAAATATTTTACATTACTTGAAATTCCCGACCCTGTATTTGGGTGCTATCAGAGTACTCTCAAGGATTGCAAATCTTTCCTCCAAATATGACCGCTCAAATCCTTGTAGTTTTCGAGATATGACGTGGTTTTATGATTTCTCTTTATTTTTTCAGAAAACTTAGATTTTAAAACATGCGAAAGAAAAGAAATTCTTTACCTTATAGGTGGGCACTGTGAGGGTAGTCTCAGGAGTTCCAAATTGCAAATCTTCGTTCGAAAGCGATAGCTCAAATGCTCTTATTTTCCGTGATGTGATTTTTGTTATGTCTTTTTTATGTTCACAAAATTTGAATTTCCCATCTCTATAGTGAGGCTATATCAGCGTACTCCCAGGAGTTTCGAGTTATGTTGCCTCCAAATGTGACTGCTCAAATCCTTGTGGTTTTTGAGATATGATGTTTTTTTGTTATTTTTTCAAAAACTTTCAGAAAATTTATTTAGTTATTTTTCAAAATTTGACATTCTTAACCTTGTAGTTGGGAACTATCAGGGGTTGCGAGTCTTGTCTCTAAGTTTGACGGCTCAAATCTTGGTAGTTTTTTTAAAAAAATTTCAGAAAACTTCAGAATTAAATTTGTTTTCAAAATTCGGAATTCCCACCACTGTAGCCAGGTATTGTAATGGTACTCCCAGGAGTTGCAAATCTTGCTTCCGAAGGCAATTGCTTTTAGTTTCCTAGATTTATTTCATTTTAAGATACGGTTCTAAATTGATTTTAATTTTTTTTCAAGGAAATTAGTTAAAGGATGCATATTTTATTTGCAATATACGCGGTTTTATGAGTTGCTATGTATGGGCACACTTTGCGCTCTGAAAGGACCGTTTTCAAAATATTAACCCTGCATAATGTGATGCGTTTAGGTGTGGAGGAGGCTCCTAAGCAAATAAATTTGTACGCCAACCTAAGCAGTTCCCTTGACTTTGATTCCATAGAGTCCTGTCCGCTGGCACAGGAGTTGCAGCTAACCAAGGATGATGTGATAGCTCAGAAGCCAGTAGAACTTAAATATGTCAAATTCCAGAACCTCAACTCCCTCACAGTGAGTGTACATGCAGTGGTGTAATAATATTTATTAACTACATAATCCTAGAGTTATTTACTTTGGATCATAATGAGCAATGAGTTAGTTTATTTGTTGTTATCTTTTTACTCCGGGATAAAATTGTCAGACTTGAATGTTGTTCATCATCAAAATAAACCAGAAGCAGTCAACTGATTCGCGTTAGCGTTCATCGTTTGACAAAAAAAAATCTTTCAGTTTTTGTTCGATTTGCTTGGTAGATGATCGTCTACGGACCTGCGTCCCAGCAGAACATGTTTTTCAGGTTTTCATCAAGAGTAATTTTGGCGGGGGTGATGTGACGTCTGTGAAAATGTTGGTCCTTTACGGAACCCCTGTGAATCAGACAAACATGAACGACTTCAAGAGGGTAAGTTAAATCGGCGAAAACAAACCGCCATATCTAGAAGCCGCAATTACATCAGAAAAACAAAAATTACATCAGATTTACGTAACAGTTGCATAATAACAGTGAAAATTAGATGTTATGTTGCTCAACAATAATACTTTTTGGTTTGTTGGAATGGTTATCTCTTTCGGCTTTTTTGACCCTTCGGCTTGCTGGACTATCAGCTTAAAATCTAATATTTCTGATGCATTCCATCACCTCCACAGTTTTTTTGTCACTAATTCCTCTGGTGGTTTGAGGTTTTCGAACGCTGTCTGTTTGACTATAAGGTACAAACGCCATCATTTGGCTTGCTTAATGTCTGCAAACAGTCTCATCCGAACTACTTCTTCTTCAAACTAACCAAATAAACCATATCTTTCCTGAATATAAACGGCTCTTTCATGCAGAATGTCCTATTTAAAACTGTGAATTCTGATTGGCTCAAAACATTTTTTTTATTAAGTGAACGATTGATTAAGGGCTAGGGTTAATGCTTTTTGTTTACTTCAGTAATTGTGTTTCAGGTCGCTGGAAAAGCGGGAGAAGCGCACTAGTTATGTTGTCACGAACCAAGTTAGGAGACTACAGCTACATCTAGACTCAAAATGCGATATGGAGTTTTGTGAGTGGACTGAAAAATTGATGTGATTATTTCGGTTCCCTCAGAATTGTTGATTTAATTTACTTAATTGAATTGTAAGTTCATTCGTCTTTTCAGATGTACAAGAATAGAAATGTACTCAGTCGGTCTCATCTGAACTCTAGAAGTTTCAATTCAAGATCAAATTGATGTTGTTTGTCTAAAGTTTGCCTTGCGTACATTGTTTATATTGGTTAAAGTTTTCAAGTGTTACCGTAAACTATCTTCTTAGCAGTATGAATCACCCTTAATCTGGGAAAATTAATGCGACAAGGAGGAGGCACGGAAAGTCTTTAGTTGTAGTCACCAGGTTAGCAACTTATGCTTTCTCAAGCGAAGTAGGTTTTATCAGAAAACGAGAAAAAGAACGAGTCACGTCAGCTTTAAATTTCAACTATGGATTGAGTTTAAAGCGTTTTGAGTGGAAAAAAACTATAACTGTTTTCTGTATAATATGAGTTATTCAACAAAAAAAGCTTGAAGCTGTGTGTGGCTCACTATTGTCGAAATAGAAAAAATATAAATTCAAATAACCGCTGACTGAGAGGAAATGGATTGGGAATGACTACGTCATTTTACCAAAAGAAGTTTCCCGCACAGAGATTCTTTGGTTTTATAAAAATTGATCGCACTAGCCAACTTTAGTGAGCGTTAGTGTTATATTACGACTATTCTTTTCGCACTAGCGAACTAGCTTGAGTGATAGTTAGTGTTATATTACGACTATTCTTTTTTCTAACCTAAGTCGCCAATATTGGTGCCACTTATGGGGCACCTTTACGTCTTTTGATAGCATATGCTTTGACATTCGAAAATTAATAAGTGAACTCAGTTGGTACATTTTAAATTCATCAAAAGAATCGAAGAAAGCTATTTGTTTCAAACAACATAACAATAATAAAAACTCGATTTCAGAAATTTTCTAACTCAATATATCTCGCAATTTCTTGAAATGCATAATTTAAACAAAGTGGCTTTATGCTTTGCGATTTGTTACATGCAAAGTTAGCGTGAATTCCTTCAGTTTGTTATATTCCAAATTATTACTTGCAAAATTGTTTGCAGAGTGCCACTTTAGCCGCATAGCATTGGCAATTTGTTAACATATGTAGCTGCTTTTTTGTGACTAGTGCTGGCTGGTTAAGCTTTCGTGGACGATAGGACAGGGCGTGAGATTACAATTCTCGAAGTAGCAGTAATCCGATAAGTAAAAATGTTCTTTTTTAACTCATTCGAGACTTATTTCTCTCTTATTTCACAATTTCTATCTTTCTGTCGTGGTCTCGCTATTGTTTGCGAAGCGCAGCTTCGCCTCTGTGGGAAACTTTTTCAAAAAATTTAAATAATTAAGTTGTATATAATTTCTAAACTGCCATAAATTCTACAAACTCATTCGCGCTTCAAGAAAAAATCGAAGTTGTGGTAAATTCGCAAATTTGAAAGAAATGGAAGCCAAAAACACGTTACCCACGAGCCTCGTCTCCTCAAATTTCGACTTTTTGATGCGCCCTTTTCTACGGAAGTTTTTTTCTTCATCAATTTCGGAGGCGATGCACGTAATTCAGTAGCTTATAAGTCGCGATGATTTTTTTTCAAGTAAAGTCTAATGGTTTGTTCAGACTCAAATTTACTTTCGGAGGCGATGCACGTAATTCAGTATCTTATAAGTCGTGATGATTTTTTTCAGGTAAAGTCTAATGGTTTGTTCAGACTCAAATTTACTTTTTTGCGGTTTAACTTGAGATTTTTTTTAAGTTTTCAAGTTCAGTTAATTTTCTTCAATAAAAAGGAAGTAAACTGCACTATCAAACAGTAAAAGTGTAAATGCTACGAAAAACGTGATCGAATTTTAATTTCGAAAGTCTATTTTAAATTTACCTCTTGATACAGTTTTTTCAAATTGGGTTAGGTTGGTAAATTTTTGCAGAATTTTAAAAAGCTTTGAGGCTATATTTTTTTAAGAGTCCATGAACGTAGTTCAGACTTTAATAGTCTTGATAGTTTTTTTTTGATTTTTTTGTTTCGTTTTTTTTATCGAGAAAAAGTTTTATGTTATTCACCCTCAATTTTTTTTTTCGCGGATTGACTTCTGATTTATTTTTAGGTTCGCACAAATCCTTAGTTGAAAGCAAGGCAAACCCACTGACGGACAGCATAAGTGTAAAGTAATGAAAATCGTGGTTGATTTCTACTTTCGAAGAAATTGAAATTTAATTTTTAGATTTCCCAGCGTAATAAAAATTTACCGATCGATCTAGTTTTTCAAATTGGGTTAACTGCAGTGAAAAAATTGTCAACATTAAAAAGTTTTAGAAATCCAAAGAATGAATGACATCTATTTTTTTGCTTCGAAAGTTGTTTTTTTTAGAAATTAAGTCAGTATTGTTTTTCTTTTTACCTACGTTCATTGATTCTTTTCAAGCTGTCTGTTGAATATATTTGATACCCTAAGCTCATATTTTGAAAATTGTCAATTTGGGATAATTAAAACGCGATGTATTGCGTACAATTAATGCGTGAGTGGTGATTTATCCTGGCCTAACAGTTCAAAATTGAATTGGATCGAACTGTTGGTTCTCATTGATACGTTACTGGACGCTGAATTTATCGTTTTAATTTTAATTTGAATCAGCCTGTGAAGATTTAGAAAAAAAAGTTGTTTTTAATTGTTTAAAAAAAAACACTTTCAAAGACCTTAAAGAACAGTCGGAATATTCAAAGCCACAAATTGTTCATTGAAATAGGCTCTAATGAAAGCGCATTCACTATTACTTGCTATGAACAGTAAAGAAAGCGTGAAAATGCAAGCTTTTAGGCGTCAGTAGTTTAGTATTGGAATCTTTGGCTGGGTCTAAGGAATTTACTAACTTTTTGACTATTTAGAGCTACTTTCTGCTGTTTTTTGTGCTCTGGTCTTTTTTGCGCAAATAAATGCGTCAAAAGCATTTACAATAAGTATTACGTCGGCTTTAACTAAAAATTTACCTTATAAAAAAAAGAATTGTCATAATAGTTGTGAAGGCTCGTAGAATGAGCTGATAGTTCTATCAATTGGACTTTTCGCTGTTTTTTGAGTAAAAGTTAAATTGCTAGTTTGAGCGGCTACTTTAACTAATTATTTTTGAGCTCCTAAATTATTTTAATCATTTTTTCTTCGAAAAGCATTAACAGCTAGCGTTGATTTCTTTCGAAATTCAATTCAACTTGAATTTCTCTAAAAGATTAATTAAAGTTCATCTGCTAACAGGAAGGCAAAGTACAATCTCCACTACCAAAAAAGCATTTGGAGCAAAAAACGTGAATGAATCTAATTCCGAAAATAAAATTCAATTTTATGAATTCTCAGTGAAACAAAAATACGTTTTACCAAGTTTTCTCTAAATGGGCTAGTTTTATGAAAATCAGTTTAAAATTTCAATCAAAAATTTTCTTGAATTTGGAAGCCCTGTCATACTTGTCAACGGGCCGGGCCGCCCGTGGGCCTCAACGGGCCGGGCCGAGGTTTTCACTTTAGTCAACGGGCCCCAACGGGCCTTACTTTTATTGACTAACCAATGTTATGTTTCAGTGCGCATTGTACAGCTTGCAGTGTGCTAAACGACATAACTACTACGTTCACTGCAGAAACAAATTCGACGTGACACGAAGCACGAAATCAGGTGTAAATTTGTTTTTTACCAAAAAAGCAGCAACGGGCCGATATTTAATAAATTACCTGTTTATCGGGCCGCCAACGGGCTCGACTTGAATTATATCGGGCCGGGCCTCAATTATGGCGACCCGTTAACAAGTCTGAGCCCTTTAGCTTGAGCTCCAAACAGTTTTGAAAAGTCACTAATATTATCCCGTTTGCTTGAGCTCAGAGATACTTTTCCAACTTTTTTGTTCTTTGTTTGTTTAATTTGTTTTCTTTGTCTCATGTATCGTTCTTATTGGGTTTTTTATGGCAATGAATATTTTGATTGTTGCAGCTGTGATTTGAGATTTTTAATTTTTGAGCGTTATACTTAATTGGAAATTTTTCATAAAATGAAGCCTTTTTTCAAACAAATAGGCCATTTCTTTTATCAGAATTACCTATAACATCCGCTTATTTTAAGCGCATTTACTGCTATCTGTTATTTACTGTAAAGTAAGCTTGAAATTGCAAGGTATTGGGCGTCAGTAGTGTAAAATTGGAACTTTTGGCTGGGTCGAAGCAGACTAAAGATCGCTTCTTCGGCGTGCTTTCTGAGGGTCATTACTGTTTTTTATAAACTTTTTAAGCTCGTTTTTGGTTGTTTTGTTTCTTTGTTTAAATTTCATCAATTGCTGATATATAGAAAAATTTCTAAAAGATGCCAGCTGTCGACAAAAACGGGAAAAGAAGCATTTCGAAAATTATAATATGATGATTCAATATTTGAAAGCATTTTTGTTTCAATTTTTTTAACCTACTTGCGGATCTCAGCAGTAGCTCCAATGTAGTTGTTTATGTTTCACACACAATCAGATACTTGTATTTTGAAGGTCAAATGAGGTAGCATAGTGAAAACCTTCAGCCTTAAGTCATGTCGTTTTAAAATTGTAACTATTCGAGAGACATTTTTTGGATTTCTTTTTATTTCAGTAACATTAGAACGAGACGCTAGCCCTAATGTTACAGAGCCAAATACTACGTGCGTGTAAAGGAGATTTTTTCACAGCGATACATGATATCTTGCCTTACTCAGCGTATTGTTTTCACAAGTGTTTTATTACTTGTTTTATACAGAAGGCCAATATTTTTGTTAACAGCTTCTATGCTTCCACCAGTTGGCCAGCAAGTCGGGGCTGCACAATTCCATCTTCAAAAAAATCGTCTTTAGCAATTTTCCAAATGTTGGTTCTTTTTTTGTCTATGCAAGACACTACTTTCTTGGAGTTTCGGATTAGATTTATTCGAGTTCGTTTTTTTTGCGTCTAGAACTTTCACGTGGACACAGCTTTCTTTTTCTTGGACTTAATCAAATTGTTTGAAATCATGATATTGCCTGACAGGAAGAGTTTCTCCATTGAGCTTTTATGAATCGTTTTAGTGTTTTTT